CAGAAAACACTACATTGGCCAAAGTGGATGCCCCCTTCATCTTCGTATCCATGATCATAAACTAAACGTCAAACGACATGTTATCCACTCCCTAATATCACTATATACACACAACCACAGACATCAATTCGACTGGGACAACCAGCATTCAAATATCAGACAGAGAAAACACCAGGAATGCTGGAGAATTTTTAGAAGCCTAGTATTTCAGTGAATTGTCAATCAATACACATATCAAGGTAGACAAAATTTACCAACCGATAAGAAGGAAATCTCACACACAAAGGGCCAAAATTCAGGTCAAGGAAACAATTGTAACGACAGAAGGCAAGAGTCAGGCAACAGATCATTTATTAAGGAAATCAACGCATTTATATATATTTTCATGAACATTACTATGGATATTTAAGTAAACAAACACAGTCTTCCGATTGGTTGTTTCTCACGTAAAGTTTATCTTTCATCTATTTGTGACTGCTTTTTGAATGTCAAATCATCTATATGTTAACTGCATCCGCCTACGCAAAGTCTGCTGTGGTCGGTTTTGAATCAATCTTTGTTCACATTTTCTCACGACAAATCTTGGGAACGTAAATATTGACGTAAATTACTGTCTACCAATTTGGCTAGTAGACAGCTCTCACCACACAATCAGTTCCAATACAAGTAACTGCCTAGAGGGTGTGGAAACACACGAAGACAACCAATCACGTTCAAGGTAACCAGGAGGAGTGACTAATAAGCTCGTGGAGTAATCTAGAAACTCACTTCAAACTGAAGTATGCGCTGAAGATATTGTCTAGTAGGATAATGAAAGCTTCACAAATACACCATCCAACTCGGAGAACACAGCAGCATCAAAATAATTCTGTTTCTAAGCCCCTAGTAATCTATATTCCCACCTTCAAACTTTCATTTTAAGTTGATAATTATTATCACCTTTATTCTCCTCCTTCGTTACTCAGTCAACTCGTCACTACATTAGTTAATAGGCATCTGAATACATGTGGAAAATGGTCAAAAACCATACTCTCCGACCCCAAACACCCTCTCTATTCCCAACTCTCGCCTTGTATCTCATCAAAACCAGAAATCAGTATAAAATAATCTATGCTCGTACAACCAAGTACAGGAACTCAACGATACCATACTTGACCCGTGTTCTAAGTGACAGAGACAATGTTAAGCGTGAAACCTATCACTTGCTCTGTTATTAACAACATAATTTAGGCTCTTTTATTTCTCTCTTATTTTGTATTGTATAGTGAACTTCTTCTCAAACATACTTAGCTACCTAAATTATTAACATTGGCTTACTTTTTGTACTTTACTACATTCCTTCCACTGGTTCCGACTCTATTAGCACTATGAGTATTACAAAATTCTCCTGTCATTAACCATCATGTAATTATTAGTTTTGTGGTTGTTTTTCTTCTTATTTTCTATACTTTTAGGCAATATTGAACTGACAATCATTGGTTGTGAACGCCATAGTCACCACCTCAAAAATTTTGTATTATTCAGGATTACTCACACTACCACTACAAACACTGAATTAGACCTGACAATAGACAACAAAACAACAAGCCTGCAATGTTATTTTATGATTGTTTAGAGTTGTTTCAACCGGATTAACTGACCATCTTGGCGATAAACATTCTTAAATATCATTTCATAACTTCTTGTATGACTACAGCTTTACTGCCACCATGCATAAGCATATCATAGCTTCCACTACCCAATACTGAGTTATTATATGATGTTTATTTTCCTTTCTACTTCTTAGTATTTTTTCGCATTTATAATTATTTTTATGTTTTTCCTGTTTGTTTTTTGCTGTTGATGTCTTTAGATTTATTTTTTTGTTAAATACTCATTTTAAATGTTTGTAAAATTAGATGCAAATATTGTAGATACGTGCTGAAAATTCCACACTGTACCACTAGTACTGATTCTGGAATAAAGCAAATTATTATTATTATGTAGAATTAAATAAGAGTATTAATTGTAGCTATGTAAACTTATGTATATGTATACGAATAAACAGCTGCTTTTGAGAATGAAATCACAGAAAAGATATCTGCGTCGCTGAAATCCTCGTCCTCTTCTCTCAAATAACTTCGCTCCGGCTTCATTCGAAGATGGTGATGAAGCTCTTTATAAACGGCCGACATTGGATATGTGTTAGTCAACGATGTATAAGTCTTAATTGGTGGATGCTGACTAGCAGTGGGATCCTATTTGGGACTCGCCATCTGGATATACCTGCATTCCGCAGTGAGTGATGATGTTCCCACCGAGGCTCGAACCCAGTGTCCATAGTTTCAAACGCCAAAGCGTTATCCACTAGACCACTTGGGCCACAACAGCCACCTCTTGTGCAACGGGTCATATTAATCAAGTGAATTTTAGATTTTCCAGTCGAGAAGCCGACATGTCAACCTGAGACCGAGCACTTCGCTCCAATCAATCGACGGGAAAATCTAAAATTCAATTAGATGTAATTACCAGTTGCATGTGTAAAAGTTTGGCTGCTGTTGTGCTCCACAGGCTTTGTCAAATGTGGTAAAAATTAATTCGCAAAGAGTGAGTTCATTTTCGTTCCGGTCATATTTGCATTGATCCTGTGTTAGACATAGTTTCTCAATTCCACTATTTCTCTTTAGTTTTGCCTTAGATAACATTCTGGAGACACCTCTGAATAATTTTTGAGTAGTGATGGTTTAGACCTGCTGTTTGACGAGACATCCTAACCTTAGTGATTACTACATCCTCGTTATTCTCAATGTGTTTCAGGGCTTCTATCTATGGTTTCGGCAGGTCAGGCTTTCCTCTCTTTTGTCGTTTTAATTTTACTTCGTCAGCCTTTGTTTTGTCTATCCGACTTAGTTCTATTTTCGGGATGAAATCCTGAGACTTCAGCTTGTCTACTGCTACATTGAGATTTGGTCCCTTTTCTAACAAACTTATTTCTGTGGAACTTAATCCATGTGTTGACAGATTGATTACCCACTTTGGTTTACCGACCACTGTTGATTTTAGATTGCTGATCTCATCGTTCTGAGATGGAGATTTCTTCTCCAATAATTCATTGAACCTTTTGATTTTTTGAAAGCTGCTGATTTGGCGTTGATAGAGGACTGTATCATAAGATCGTAATCCTCGTCGGTAACTATTCCCATTAATTTTCTGCAAAAATTAGTAGTAACATTCTAACTTTAATTATGCAGATGATATTGTCTTACTTTAGAATGCTCATCAACCATGCATGTGGTCCGGGGTTCAATTCCCACCCGATGCACTCCTCAACCTCGCTTAGCCAGTAGTATATAGGGTAGAGAGGGAAGATTGGACGTGAGATTAGTTACTTCACTCCGAAAAATCTCAAAGCTTGAAGCATTATTCTCCACCTGGAACCCTAAGAAACAAAATAAATCGTCTTACTCTGTGATAGCATACATACTACCGAAATTGCATTGGATCAGTTGACAATCAGCGACGTCTATAATTACGGTATGTGCATCACTGCATCTAGGTACAAAGTATCTTTGCAGGATAAGTGGTAGCGCAGCCTGTTTCTGTACCCATTCTCGTAAGTGAATCGTTTTGAAGTAATCAACAAGTTCGCACTATCTTTAGGTACTTGTATTACTACTGATAAAGATGTGGAACAAAGTTTTCACTTATATACTAAAAGCCAAAGCAACATATGCCCATGTATGACACGGTCACCAAACGTGAGATTTACAATGTTTCAGTAGACACAATCCTACTCTACACTCACGTGGAACTTGATCTCTCTAGGAAGATGATGATGACAATGGAGTGTAGCAATTTTGCGTATCCAATCACTGCTTCAGTGAACTGCACACGCACGAAAAATATCATTCCAGTCATCCTTGTGCTCTTCATTGTTTACAAGCCCTGGAACTAAATGAAGAAAGAGAAACGGAGAGTCAGTCCCTGACCTGGTACAATGCGATAAAGGACAACATGAGGCTAGCCATAACCACTGCAGCTACTGTTCCACTCAGAACGCAGTGAATCAAAAAGAAATGATGTTATTCAATAACATGTGATTCCTAATTTTCAAAACATTTTTCGGCAAAAGAAATGATCATCAGAGAAACATGTAAAAGGATAATGAAAATATATTTTAAAGAAAAGAAAGGGTTCGATAACAATCCCTATTATCTGTGAAGGCAGATGGATGGATAATACATTTACTTATTTAGTTTTTACTTCTCATCAGTAAATACGATGATGATGATGAGTGTTCAGTAGAACAGTCTATAAAACAATGAAAATTATAGAAACTCTAGCCTATTTTTTGTTTGTTTACTTGTTTCACAAAGCGATAATCACAGTTTACTACAATTACTTCAATGATAATGTTAATAATAATAATAATAACAGTAGTAGAAATGAAGTCAAAAAGACAAAACGAACTAGTTCACGAAGATTGTGTGTGTAGTTAATACGATGACTGGAGGAGAAAGAAAGAAAGAAAAGAAGTCCAATACAATACATGGGCAAGAAACAATGAATCACAACATATTAAATCTTTTGTGGTTACATAAATTTATTGTTTTGTCAAATTAAGGAATGGGGGACGGAGTGAGGTGGGGCGGGGTGATATACTGATCAAACGACTGTACAAGGGTAGATTATTAGATGGATGTATATATGATGTATGCCATGGTAAGCAAGTGAGAAAAGAAATTCAAGTTATACACTATATAAAATACAAATGATAACTTGTGTAATCAAACCCTCGAAACACTGAGTAACAAGTGTTACACACACCCGCCCGCCGTCACCTTCCTCCCGGGTGAGGGGATGGCACCACCCCCACGTGAGAAGACCAAAATAGAGATGTTTGAAAATACGATGTATGTGAAACATTCAGGGAAAAGGATAGTATCGAAAATATATCTTTCTTTTACAAAAAAAAAGAATCTTAACGACACTGTCTGTGTCTATCTGATGCATACACACATCGAAAGACGAAGGGCATATAAGGAAAAAAGCGAATCAATAACTTTTTTCTCATACTAACTGTCAGCAATTTGTAGATGAATGGAATGGATTCAGTTGAGGTTGAGCATCAACAAGATGTTTATATGTATCATGTCTACGTCCACTGTGAGATCGTACATGTTCATCGTCTGATACCTTGGAGACTATGGGTGTGTATTGTTTTGGAGCATCTTCTCTTGAAGTAGAACGTTTTGCTTCTTTCCTGTCAAGATCACCAGTATGAAAAGAATGTCGTCTATGGCTACTCTAGAAAAATAAGAATGAGGGAGAAGAAAATTATAAGTCGAACGATTATTTTTTAATCAAATTTACAACGTACATACTACACAATTCGAGAGGTAGTGTAACAACAGAAGACAAGGGCCAGACAACAGATCGTTTATTAAAGAAAATCAACACATATTTATAGATTTTAATGTACATTATTTCGATTTGACACTAGTAACTAGTGTGATGCGTCTAGTCCTCTCTTTGGTGCAGACTGAATTCTATCAGTCAGGTTGTAATGTGGCCACCATTCTAGGTAGCTCGCCATCACAATGTACACTATCGTAGATTATTGTTAGTAGAAAATACAGTCTTTGATTGGTTGTTTCTCACAGAAAGTTAACCTTGCATCTCTTTGTGGCTGTGTCAGATCATCCATATGCTAACTGTATCCGCCTACGCAAAGTCTTTGTTCTCATTTTCTTACCACCAATATTGGGGACATAAACATTGACGTCAATTACTGTCTACCAACTTTGGCTAGCAGCCAGCTCTCACCACAGTAGTATGACCAGTTGACCTGAGTAGCTAAACCAAACATCGGATGACTTGAGGTGACTCGGCTCTCTGAGCTGAGTTGAATTATTCACACCGCGCTGATGAGCTTGAACCTAAACGATCGAAACTGCCCTCCTTACCTCAATCTAGCTAGCAAGCACTACTGGTTGATATGAGTGGCATGCAACTACTCATATCAATCAATCAGTAGTATATGGCTTTACGCGAAATATTATTTCTTCTAAGAATGTCTCTGAAATGCAATAAGCATTCCAGAATAGTGAATAAATTATATCGATCGAGTCCTAGTGATGTTAGATAACAGAGAGAGGAAAAGCGAGAGTAGGCAAACAGGAAATACGACTATCTTGGGGTTTTCGTGCTAATTGACACTTATCAACAGAATGATTCTAAGAAATCTAAACAAAATGACTGTGTGAACTTGAGCCGCTGAACATTTCAGTCAGACGCATCACTTACTACTAATGATCTATATAAAATATTACAGAACTGTCAAAAGACCGCATATCACTAGATGATTTACTGTCTTCCGACACACCTGACAAATGTTCCTGGTACACAGTACTGTGCAACATGCGTGCACGTGTAATGTTTGATAATATGCTCCACCAAAGGTTATAAAGACCATCTGATTGGTTACAGGATTTCATTCATCACTAGCTGACATCGGTTAGAGAACCACTGGAAAACCAGCAGCGAGAAGTGGACAGCTGTTTCGTTCATCTAGTTTGAGACCCTTCAGCAGTACTCACCCACCGGGGTCCAAACTCAACATCTTCCGGTTACACGGCAAGCTCATAAACCATTAAGCAACTGAGACTCGGTCCAATGGCCAGGCCATGAATTCCAACATCTGTCAATTCTTAAAATAGCGCGACCACTAGCAAATGCTATGGGAGAGTATTTATCCTCACATAAACTTGATACATCATTGGAACCAAGAAGTGCTCCGCACAAAATCTGATAGTTTATGATACGACTAGAATACTACTAACCCAAAAGAGCAGACTAAATCAAGTGGTTACCTCGAGGGGCTCTCCTGTCCCAAGTATTTGACTTGAAGTTCGATCCACAAGACGGTGACCAAAACAGATTCATACGCCATTCAATCCACTCAGATTCAGGAGCCCATGTACACCGTAGGTTTGGAATCAGGGTTTTCCAGCTACCCTAGATAGATCAACATATCCACCAATCTGGTTGTAACGACACGGTGTATTCGCATTCACCCTTCAACTTTCTTAAGAAACACTCCTACCACGTGAATAGCAGTTGCCTGTCAGAGGCTATGAATGTCTAGCCACATGAAAACGTTTCGAGGGAAATATCGAAGTCTACCCACCCTCGACATTGCTAGGTTGTTCATTATGTGAGTAACTGATACAGTGCACAACAACTGATAATTCAGATATAGGTGTCTGAGAAACAGAGGCGTTCTGCAGAGGTGTTTCTACCAACAAAAAAGCTTTGATAGTAGAATGTTACGTATTGACCTCGGGTCAACTTCAATTCTGTATTTCTAAAGGGCGAGGGCTTTAAGACTACAACTTTTCAGTCTCCATGCTTTACTGTTAAACACATTCTCACATAATATTCCTAATAACTGTTTATTTCAAAGCAGAGAAAAAATGTCAGTATATCAGACAGAATATAGAGGTTAAGAAATAATGAAAACCTACGGTGGAACGTGTTCGATTCTTACGAGTAGGGTTCTCTATAGCACTTTTTGGCGGATTGTCAGACGTCGGTAGAAAGTGAGTTGGAGTAGTATCATTCACATTATTATATAATACAGCTTTCACATGAGAACCAATTGAAACATTATCACCATCATTATCATCTTCACTATCTGTTGAAAGTCCAGAATTATAACGTTTTCTTGAATAATTTAATTGTGATGCAGCTTCTGCGTTAACATTAGATTCATTGAAAAGTTCTCTTGGTAATGCTTGTACACTTGCAGATCGTATAATTGGTGGCCATACACCAGCCAAACGATCAATTTCATCACGTATACGTTCATAATCTTTACGTGCAACATGTCTGTGGAATAATAATAATAAATATACAATTGTAAAAAGAACAGTCATCTACTGAGGATGAAGTTAGCCAAAGACTATCACAGATATATATATATATATATACAGAATAAAATAAGTGGAAAATTTCCACCAATCAATGTCCAATAAGAAAGCGAGACGATGTTCATAAGCTAGACTGACGAGAAGACACTGGAAGAGCTAGACATCACGTATAATTTATGTCTAATAATATCACACTAATTTGAAGATCTACAGAAAAAACCAACAACTAACTAACCGGGTTTCAATGTAGAACTTTGCATAGATGTTCAGCAGCAGTTCGAGTTGACACACTTCCTCCATGTACCATGCAAAGCATGAGAAGAGAGTGAAGAGAGATTCAAAAGACAGATAATAAACAGAAATATGAGGGACAGAGAATAGTAATATGGAAGAACAATAGAATTTTATTCGATATGACAAATCACAAAACAGTGAATGCATCTGCACCATCACCACTCATCACCAGGTACTGATTCCTGCCATCCCGAGAACCCCAAATAGTCTGGATGTCTACAACCCCTTACGTGAATGACTGGCTTACACTAACTCTTGTGAATTTCATTGACTGATGAAGTCATGTTTGTTCTAGTTTGACCGCCACCTCTGACTATTTTTCAATCTCAGCTAACATCGCCCGTCGAGGAAGGCGGTAGCTAAGCATGCATAAAACATGGCCTACCTATTGCAATCGGCGTAACTTCACAACCTCGTAGATTGATTTCCCCTCCTTACCTAGCACTCGACTGAAGCCTAACCTCAATATTACTCATCCTATTATACCACTTCACACGAAAGATAGGTCAAAGACACTTATGATCAAAGACAGCTAGCCTTTTCATGTCTTCCACTTTCAATGGCCACGTCTCGCTCGCAACCATAAAGGAGGACAGAGCGAACTGTTGAGCAGTACACACGCCCTTTGGTCGACAGCCAGATATCACGCCCACTAAGCCCAGAGATGGAGTAATTTAGGATATACCCAACAAGCCTTCTATATCCATACTGAGATTTCGTCAGCAATCAACCCGCTGGCGTTGGATGAGGCAATTTCTCAAATAAGCGAATTTTTCAACACGCGTAGCCACCACTTCACTCCCTCCCTATCTTTAAGCTAGGAGTCAATGCAGTCCAGACCTGTAGCATCATCTGACATTTGACGGTGGGAGCGAATAGCATGCTGAACATTTGAAGATTGCTGCTCTTCAAGGTGTTTAGGAGAATCTCTGTTTCGTCAGCGTCTTCACCTAGGCGCAGGACTATATCATCTGCATAATCTAAGTCAACGAGATTATTCCCCGGTAACAAGTCAATACTTGAGTCGCTGAAGTCAGTTAGGGTTAAGTTCATTAGTACATCTAATGAACAGCTGGTTTTTTTTATATCTTACAAAATCCAAAAAGTTAAGAGGCAGTACAGACAGGAATTCAGGTGAATATCAAGAATTTAAATATTCTCATAATAATAATAATTAAAGAACACGATTTAAGCAAATACGTATTTTAAGGTATTTGTTGTATCGCGCTAGATGAATCTCCACAGCCGACACTCGAGATAATGAAATAAAGGAAAACAGAAAACATTTTTTACGAAAACGGATACCCCGAAAAATTTGTTAAAGTCTCGATGAGGAGAAGACAGATAAGAAAGAAATGCCTGCAAACTGTGCAGAAGAAACGCATGTATGCATCACTTCACCGTTTTAAAGGAGACGCAGCAACTGAATTGTTGGCATCGAAACTTCGAAAACAAATAGCTAAAACATTCTTTGCCGCAATACTGGGTTTTAAACTTGGCACTCGTTGTCTAATTCCAACGCAGGTGACGGGTAAGCTACCAAGTCTGGCCACTACAATGTCCATTTATAAAGTTAACTTTTCACGTACAAGCAGTTACAAAGATAGAACGACTCAGCAAGCCCACAGTCGCCTGCTGGAGCACTGTCCAAATTGGTTGTTTAAAAGAGTTGTAAAGTCAATCAGAAGTTCCATACTGACACATCTAGTGGATATGGAGCACCAGACTGCTAAAAAGAACGTCAACTCTTACAACTGTACCACTACAACTCCTGAGGTTATTTCGTCTTCAGTGATAAGCGTAGCTCAGACAGTTACCACATAAAGATTTTTCAACCCAATCTGTATGTTCAGAAAACGTTTATTCAACCTCTCTTCCTCCTTTGGCTTTCACCCCCAACCTAGAACAGTTATCTCTCCCAGTGACACCGGATAACCGTAAATAATATCTTATTTAATTTTTTATTTTATCTTATTTATTCTGCTAACTGCATTATCAACATCATGCTGTACTGCAGTTGTACATTTTAATCTCGATTTCACAATTTATTATTATAAGATTATCTAATCGCTGTGTGACAATAGTTATTTTCCTCTCTACCTCTACTACTATGCATATTCTACCTATACACTCACCATTACCTAGATTATATAAACACTTGAATGAATTTATCATCATTATTATTATTATTATTATGATCACCTCGATTGTTATTCATTAATTCACACCGCTAAACTCTATATATCATATTAACCACATTAATCCAAATGCCTATGACTAATATTTTCATCATTATGTAAATGTAAAGCCTGATGAGAATTTACCAAAAATACTTATTTGTTTCAAACGTCTTCTATGAATATCAAGAAGTGATAAAGATAACTAACCGACAACAGGTGGAAATCATCATCAACGGAAGAAATCGAACGGAAGTCACCTCTATCACATATTTAGGCAACATCACTTCAGCCTATAGATGATATAGATAAAGATGTGAAAGCCCGTTACGACAGGGAAAGTAAGACTGACCTTCATTACTCCAAAAGCAGTGTTAAAAATCAGTTACAGAACTCAGCATACAAAATAAAGACCTGAAAATTCAACACTAAAGTCAAATCAATACTTCTATATAATTTAAGGACTTCATGCATCACCAAAAGCATTTCTATACACCTTTATTAACAGCAGTCTTCGACCCACACTGAAGATTCAATGGTCAGAAAAGATAAGTAACAAGGATATCTGAGAAAAAAACCAGTAAAGAACTTATTGCCCAATAAATTTTATAGAAAGGAGTCAAGGTGAAGTGAACACACACAGAGGAAACTGTTTAGTGACACACAGCACGCATCAGAGGCCACCACTCGAGTGGAACCGGGATGAGAAACGATGAGTTGGGAATGAGTTCAAGGATGAAATGCAAATTATGTGAGGAGGAATTGAAAATTTGTGAGAACAGGATGAAATGGAGATGTTTCGCCAAAGCCCTATGTCCCACTCAGAACCCAAGGGAACACTAATAATGAAGTTTGGGTAACTAAATGATCTCCTAACAGGTAGTAGTGTTATTAAATACTAGGTCAAAGTTACTCTCTACACAAATTATACTTAAGTATGGACTAAGGTAGTAACCCAATAATTAATTTCAATACACAAACGTTTGAGCAGATTTTAATCCTTTGATTTTTCGAATTTTCATTAACGGTGATGTTGTTTATACATAGGTGAATTTGCTTAAGCTCACACTCAACCCCACACTCTTTCCCTGGATGACATGGTTCAAGACTGTGGTGGCCGGGAATCGCACCCTGACGTCTCGCATGAATAACATTCGACTGCCATCCTACTGACACAGAAAAAAAGGCATTGAACAGTTTCGTCTCAATTCTAGATTCTTCAGGACAGTGCACCCATGACTGCTCCATGGATAGTATTTGAGATATACAAGAACACAGCGCTACACAGGACATATTTTTCATGTACCATGCTATGAGTGGCACACATACACACGCAAGCACATTTGTATGAGGATCGAAAAAACTACTTAGTTATCAAGACTAGAATAGGTGAAGCGCGATTCGAACGTGAGACCAATCAATTGATACTTGAGTGCTTAAGCCAATGAGTGGCATCCCAACAAACAAAGTAAGACTAAGAGTTTTAAGTGAATACTTACAATTCTAAATACCAACACTGTCTTCAGCATTCCTCTCTTCTAAGGATGGAAACAGTGTATGACTGGAAACGAAGCAACAAGATGTTTACAATAAAACAGGTGTAACTGAAAGTTTACTGTCATCTGTGCTGTATGAAAGTGAACCATACTTCAATACTATCAGGAATTCTTGTTAAGAATAAAGCACTACACCACTTTTTAAGGCAACCTAAGTAGTATTAGTATTGTCTTTTATGCACTAAGTATGATTCAAAGCAGTTCTTCTTCTAATTATTATTATTATTATTCACTTGGGTTCCGAGTGGAATATACGGCTTCAACAGCTCAGCCCCATTGCAGATTGTTCTCTAAGAGCATTTTTTGGTTGGTTCCACTATTTTGCTTAAGCTTTTATCACCTTTTCTGTGTCACCGTTGTAAGTGCACACGCTCAGTTCATCAATCGCTTCACATTCGCGTTTCACTCAAGAGCATCATCAGTGACATGTGATATTATCACTCAGAGATCTGCACAGCATGTATGTCAAATCCATTTCCATTTTCTTCTTCACATAATTGTTGGGTAGATAAAATTCTCGGTTAGTTAGGACGCCTATCAGACTGCTTTATTCCTTCAGGCCAGCCACCATCTAATCTTCATTCAGTACTGGAACTGAAACATGGTTAAAAACAATCTCCATCTATCATTCCCTTAATTGTACTCTTTTAGCAAACAGTTTACTTCTCTTCAGAATTATAATGTGAATTTCGCATGCATATATATATATATATATATATATATATATATATATATATATAGACAATCCGTCCTACACTATCTTTTGTGATAACGATAACGCATAAATTCCATAGAAAATGAAGAAAAAACAGTTTTAAAGCCTTATTATGAGTATAAATGATGTCTAATTAGTTTATTGATCGATACATACTAATTAGTGATTAGACATGTGTGTGTAAATGTGTGTGTGTGCGGTGCATCCCGACGGTAAAATCACGCCATAAGCAGATCTCATGACAACCTTTCGTGCATGATCAATTATTCAGACGGAAAAAAACAAGCCTACAGAAAAATAATGATAAAAATTCACAAGAATCAAAGAATTTCAATAATAAGGTAGGTAGGTAAGTGTATGCAGGCATTATGTATCAGATCAATAACTGAAGGCGAAAACAACAAACGTACCTAGGGAACAGGGCTAGTCGAATATGACGTATACGTTGACGAAATGATACACCGTCTACAATAGACTCTAAAATACATCCAAATAACAAATTCCCAAGAGCTATTCCATGCAGGATAAGTATAAAAACAACTGAAGGTATTCGACAAAGCTGAAAATTAAAAAAAAAAGAAAAAGGCAGCACAAAGATATAAAGTTTATACCAAAGTAATATTCTGGATGTAATGTAGATGCTGTAATGAGAAGTGTAAAACTGACTTGTAATCGATACATGTCGGATTGAATTTTCACAAGAAAAATTTGGATCAACAGTGACAGCGATTTGGGGCGTCAACCCTCCTCTTCCTTCTCCAATTATCATCATTATTCCACATATATATTGAACTTCTCCGACATTAAGTAACAACCTTTGCCTATAAAATCATCAGTATGTGTACACAACTGAATATAAATTGTAAAATTGAGTAGAAACATTAATTAAAGATGAATTTTTGTAAATGAAAGAAATCCGAAGTAGAAAATGTACCATGAATGTAAACTTCAAATTTGACGGCACGCTTTACAGGCAAGTGGACGGGGTGGTAATGGGCTCCCCATTGGGTCCAATTCTGGCTGATTTCTTTCTAAGTAAGCTAGAAAATGGACCTCTGAACAACCTTATCAGTAAGCTCTCATTTTATTGCCGATATATGGATGATACCTTTATTCTTTGTGATAATGGTTCCGATAGGAGTACAATAATTAATGAATTCAATGAATTGCATTCGGCTATGAAATTCACATGCGAAGAGGAATCCCAAGACAGAATTGCCTTCCTGGATGTCCTACTTACAAGAAAACCAGACGGTAGCATAAAAAGAAATTTACATAGAAAAAGTACTTGGACGGGACAATATACACACTTTCATAGCTTCGTTCCCATCAAATACAAAAGGAATTTGCCACAGAGTTAGAGTTATATGCTCTGAAGAAGTAATTAAAGATGAATTAAGCATGGTATATGATACTTTAATCGAAAATGGTTATCCTGAAAAATTTATCCAGAAACATATGACAAAGAAGGCCGAAAAGGACTACCCACTATCTGTAAACAAGAAGCCACTTTATATACGACTACAATTCAAGGGCGATAAACCAAGTGAGTTAATTACAAGAAAATTAAGAAAATCAGTTCAAAGGACTTTTAATGCTGGCGAACTACACATCTTATTCTCTACAAGACCGATGGTGCTACCTCGACTGAAAGATGAAGTACCTAGACTGGTCACTTCAAATTGTATTTATCAATTCAACTGCGCTTGTGGAGCGAGTTATGTTGGCCGTTGCTCTAGGAACTTGATTTTTCGTGCTCGAGAACATATCCCACTATGGCTAAGTAAAGGTGTAGTTAAAACTATTAACAGCTCGATATTAGACCATCTGGTGCAAACCGGTCACAAAGCCAGCGTAGACGAATCCTTCTCCATAATATACCGGGTGCCTAACAAACTACCAAAATCATCGAAGCACCGCATGCTCCAAACAGCAGAGGCTATTGCAATTCGCCTCAAACAACCAGTGCTCTGTGTCCAAAAGAAACAAGTCCAGCCCCTACTACTGCCTTGGCCCTCAGTAGAGACTATAAACTCATACATTTGTACTATTACCTTTCCTAATTCTTCTGACATTCAGTTTATTTTATGTTGATGCTTTTCAGCTGTAATTTATCAATATTATTGATTTGATGTTATTTAAACATTAATGTCGTTCATAAGACTAATTCATTCATTCATTATAATGTATATATAATTGTAGAACCTGATGATGAATTTATCGAAAAGAGTACTCTTTGTTCCGTGTCTGTTCTTTCGAAGTAGAAAATGTCAGTGTACAGGAAATAATCAATAATTATCAAGGACACAGTAACAATCAATTTTATTATTATTAATTATTATTGGAATACAAACTTGGTACATCATACCACAGTTTGTGCCAGGGCTGGGATACTGCCCGGATACCCAGACCGAATCAGGTGGTTGTCTTAAGGAACTGAAGCTTCGAATTGAAGTCCAATCCACAAGGCAGCAGACTGGCATTTCCATGGTTGACAGTAATCGAAACAAATCCATAACCTATTCAATCCTTTCGGATTCTGGAACCTATGTATACTATAGGTTTGTATTCAAGGTCTTTTAGCTTCCCTAGGTAGAGTTGTCTGTCTTTCAGTCTGGTTGTAATCATCAGATTTGCTTACTCTCTGTTCCAATTTTACGAGGAACTCCACCTCTATGTGAAGGCGGTCAATAAAACTTACTTGGCAGAGGCTATAAACGCGTGGTGATGTGAGAACATTTAGAGGGAAAGACAGAAGTCTACCCACTCCTGGCCGTACCTAGTCGTTTCTGTGACAAACAGTGACAATTGTTGATGAGTTTATTCAAAGTTCTTCATTCTACATGTTATCAGATGCAGATATTAGTGGAAATTCCATTTATAAAAAATTCTTTCAGAAAATAAATCTGGAGCACTCTGTGGTCGGCTTCATGGTAGTTATTTATGTCTAGCAGCATGAAAATACCAGACCTTTATCAACAGCTGTCTTCGTTCTATACTCAAGATCAGATGGCTGGAAAGAATCACCAACAAGAAACTATGGGAACAAACAAAACAGGAACCAATCGCCCAACAAGTATGCAGGAGAAAGTGGAGATGGATTGGACACTCGCTGAGGAGGCCGCTGGGTGACATCGTGCGTCAGGCCATAGCTCGAGTGGAACCCGAAAGGGAAGCGGCGAGTGGGACGTCCAAGGGTGACATGGAGGAGATCGTGTGAAGAAGAGTTGAAACAGTATGGACTAACATGGATGCAGGTGAAAAGTACAGCACAAGACAGAAGCAAGTGAAGGCGTGCAGATGAAGCCCTATGTTCCACTAGGAACCCAAGGGAACAACAATAATAATAAGCATGGAAATGCAGACTGAAATCTTACCTCATTTTCAAAAAATTATTACTACAAATACACCGAGTATAGCACAAAAACCGCCCAAAAAAACGATACACACTATGGGTCTATTCCAAACATATAGCTTTACCAGTGAATAAGTAAACATTCTACAAAGACAATCAACGCGTGTATTTTAAGGTGCATTTCGTCAATTACAAATCCTCAAAAAACCTATAATCGAAAATATCGATCTATAGCTCAATGATGGATACTGGATAGATGTTCAGAAGCTGCATTGAGATATCGTGGCCGGTAGGATCTATCACGTTAAAGTAAATTAGGTGATCATTAACGGCAATGGTTATATTATGAATTGACAAACTTATAATGCACGGTTCAGTAGTGAATTCCAGCCCAAGTGGATGAATAGCCAACGAGCTTGATGTAGTAGACATCAAGATCCTGGGTTCGATCCCTGGTGTCGTCATGGGTGTGCATTGCTGAAGGAGTCCAAAACTAAAGCAAAACAGTTGTCTGGTTACCCCCTGGTTTTAAGCGGTTGCCTTACGGTACCTACCTTGAAATTAATGAAATGCCTACAACCCAGAAATTAAAAATCTCACACATATTTATGTACCTGAATATTGAAGGACATTACTTTTATGATAGTGAAACGGATGCTCAAAATTATGTAAGCAGGAAGACATAGAAACATCCAAGCGACTGGTTGGAAGTTGAATAACTTATTCCACGAATCAAAAATCTTTAAATTTCTAAGTGGTGTTTAAACGAATATAATCTGTATTATGAAAGTTTCTAGCTGCCCCCATTTGAGTAGGAGGTTTGAAAAAGTGGAACAAGAAAATAGTGTAATCACAAACTGAAGAGTACCATAAAACAGAGCGAACAAAAAATGTCATTTAGGCTACGATTAGGCGTAGATGATAGAAGATACAATTGGCAAGAAACCCCATTTCACCTATGTTTCGCACTTTTTGCCACTTTTCAGTGAGGTATATATGCGACCTTGAAGAAATTCATATCCCCTCTGAGATTCACACAATCGCTAAGTGCTTCAGTTAGAGACGTTACCGTCGAGTTATTCCATTTCACTACTGATCTTCTGCACGGCTGTAATGAATACTTTCATTGGACACTAGATAGTAACTGATCTCATGTATTTAGTCATCAGTGTTCGTGCCGACTGAATTCTAGCAGTAAAGTGAAAATGTACACGCACTAATACAACAGATTCTTATTCACCAAGGCGAAGATGCTGATGAAATCAAAGATATTTACTCCTACCAAAAAGTATTTCACTGTAAAGCGGAGCATTTTAGATGAAAATTCAGTACAGTTGAGGCGAATTGATTAAATAACATAATAAAGTTGAAGAGGATGGGTAGATAACTTTCATCGGAGTGTTAAACACAACAGACAAATAGGAGGCAAAAAAACACACAATAATAACAGACTGAAATTCAGCAGGGTATAATGATTAACATAAATTAGGCTACTACAGGGTAGTTATGAGTTTGAAATAAAGACGGAATGAATAAACATTACTCATAAACATATAATATATGAGGGCCTCCGAATATACTACCCGGCTGCCCAAACTTCAGTAGAGTCGAGTGAGATACGAATCCGTAGACTAATCAGCTAGAGCTTCATCGTGGATTTAAGATATTATCAATGATGAACGATTTGTATACCATTCAAATGGATCAAACAATACCAAAATAAATCTGGAATATAAATTATAGTACTTTTTAATAATACCGCTAACCAAAGCCTCCCTGCACACACACACACCCCGCTCAAAAAAAGAAATCCAATACCATTCATAACTAGAGGAAACGCCGGTGAAGAAGATAACCAATCACTATCAACGGAAGAAATTTGAAAGAGTTCACTCCCGTCGCTTATCTAAAATGAATCGTTTTAACTACTCATTGGACAGACGAAGATATCAAAACCACAACTTCATCAATCTGAAATCGGCATAAGCAACAAAATTCGAATTTCAGACACAAACGTTAAGTTAGTCAGTGCTTCCATATGAATCAGAGACATGGCGCCAGCTTCGTGAAAAGCATTTTCACCAAGCTACTTCAGACTTTATTTAACAGCTCCCCCCTAACCTGGCACCATATCGAAGATTAAATGACCGACTAGTAAGATTTAGCAACAAGACATTCTAGGAAAAACCAACCAAAAACCTACTGTTTCCACGAATGTACCGAAGAAAATGGAGATGGATTAGATACACGCTGAAAGGAGATAATCGAATGAAATCGCGCGCTTGGCCATCCTTTCTACTGGAACTCAAATGGGAAACGACGAGTTGGATGTTGGTTCGAGGGTGACATGAAGGAGGTCATGAGAACAGAAGATGAGAGTTTATGGGCGATCGTGGAGTCAGATGAAGAGGACTGCAGAGAATAAGACAAAGTGGAGATATGCTGTTGAAATGGAACGTTCCAAACGGAACACAAGGGAATAGTAATAATAATAATATTGTTTATAACACAGTGTTTGTGTTTTCGTTTTTAAGCTTTTATCTCTTCGAGTCAACAAAGCAGTAAAGAAAAAGATAACTAAGACGTCAGTGAAACAATAACCATTGAAGAATTAAACGAACAATAGGAAGAGCTTTACTATACCAGATAATAGGAACAATGTGTATGCAGTATCAAGTATGTGACTTTATATGAGTTGCATAGAAACGGATACCAGCACGGTGGAGAAAAACTGTATATTTTCTCATTATGATGTAAAGAATAGAAGAGAAATGAACTGACGCACACGCATAGATTGAACAAAGACAACTTCTCCTAGCAACTGTTAACACAAAAGAGTATTAAATGCGTTTGGTGTATTGAGCTATAAAACACTTCTGATCACTGAAATGGTGTAGAACAGTAGACAGGAAAGCATGTTTTGATGTTGAAAACAATCAACATTATATAACGACTGAAGTATTTGGATGATATGCATGATTTCAAGATTGGTCGTGATCTGACGGCTGGGCAGATGTCACCAACTTTGGTCGTGAGTCTTCAGTAGTACGCAGCCATCATCCCACTCACCAGAGAGGTTGAACTTAGGACCTTTAGGTAACCAGATGAGCTTGTCAACCATTTACCCTACTGGAATAGAATCCATTAGCCTATCTATTCTAATTTTCCTACTAATTCGCGATATGTAGCGCGACACTCAGCCAGTGTCATCACCGGTGAGTATTTGTCTTCATACCCGATGGTCGCGAAACTAGTGTATCCCACGATTAAATCCTAGAATGTCCGCTAATTGGAAACGTGGTCAGGGTTTGACTCAGGCTGCCACGCACTCCTAAACATCGCTTAGCTAATAGTAATCTCGTAAAAGATAGGAGGTTGGAGGGGTGGACACAACACAGCCACTACTGAAATATCAAAGCCTGAAGCCTAATGAGCCCTATGTTTCACTCGAAACGGAAGGAAAGTAAGACAAACAAACATGAACACTCAAGATTTCATCATGAGGTGATATAGGTTAGACAACCATTGGAAAACCAGCAGGGAGTGATAGACAGGTGTTTCCTCTGTCCTAGTATGAGGCCCTTCAGCAGTATGCCTCCACCAGGGTTGGGACTTAGAATCTTCCGATTGTAAGGCGAGCTCTTACCAGTTTGCATCAAACAACCACCATTATAACCACTAGTAGTCAACCTTTATGAGATGAATAAAAGTGAACAGGAATGAACTTTTTTTTTCTGAATTCCCAAAAAAAATATATTACATCAAATTCTTACCTCGAATAAGTGACGAATAATATGAGTTGGGTGGGAGGTTAGATACAGAGACGCAGCGACGCATACAGCGACGTTGCAAAGAAATATATCTATGGATATTTTGAAAAACAGAAAAAAAAGAGTAGCAATGACAACTAATTAGAAGTGAAAATGTTTGTTGTTAAAAACAATGTTCATAAATTCATGGATACACCTCAGTCTTCCTCTCTACACGCTCTCACCTTGTAGCCACCCATTCAAGAACTCCCTTTGATAGGTAAATCCTATGCACTGCCTTCACACAGTGAGGATGTTCCTTACACTTAAAGCCAGACTAGTGGACATGCAGGTCGACACCTAGAAGAGTTGGGAAATCCTGATTTCAAATCTAAAGTTTATATATGGTCTAGAGTCCGAGTGGATTGAATGGCGTTTGAACTTCTTGCCTTACTTTCTTGTGGATAAAAGACGAAATTAAAGGCTCAGAGGGCGGCCTTTTCAGACAACCACCTGCTTTGGTCTAGGTATTCGGGAAGTGTTCCAACCCTCACACTAACTGTGGTGTGGTGTATGAAGGATTAATTACGGTTACGCACGAACAGTACTTTGTGAACTATATTTCCTAGACATAAGCTAACGAAAAAATTTGAAAAGTAATTACGCAGATACAAATCCCTAATGTGTATAGTAACTTAGACGACTGGAAGTTCCAATGAAAAGAGAGTAGTATGATGATTAGTTAGAACTGAAGGCAACACCACCACCTACTTATGTGTAGTAATATCAAATGAACAGAAAAACTCTTCACTGGTACATTAACCAAAACATAATCAGGAACCAATCGTTTGTGTACATTACAATACCATCACATCAACACCAAAAGTACGCATAACACTGAAATATCTGATGAGGTCCAGTCTCAATACGCTGACGGATACAGAAGGCTCGTTTGGGATTTGCCAACTTACGCCATCCCTGGCTTAGTGTAGACGTGATATCCCACAGGCTACTGATCAAAAGACGTATGAACTGCTCAACAGTTCAATCCATCCTTCGTTATGACTGTGAGTCAGACAAGACCATTGAGAGAGGAATAAATGAATATAGAGCCAACTGCCTTTGATCATTGGTGTCTGCATTCTATCTCCCGTGTTAGGTGGCATAAGAAGGAGAGAAATATTGAGGTTAGGCATCAAGTGATAGGTTAGGAGGAAAAATCAATCTACGAGGTTCTGAAGCAGCTGCATCGATTGAGATGGTTAGGATATGTGTTACTCACGCCTAGCCATCTATCTCCTTCCTCGACGGGCAATGATAAATGATATAGGATGGAAAAGAGCTAATGTTGGTCTAACCAAAACATGGGGCATCAGTCAATGAAATCCAGTTAGTTCAAAACAGCCACGTAGGGAGGTGTGGACTGTCAGTCAGGTTGGGGTCCTTCGGACAGTGAAAATCAATGAAGGTTGGAGACAATTAGTGATACGAATCAAAATCATTCTCAGTAATGGCGCAGATGCATTCACTCTTTATGATTAATCATATCCAATAAAACGTTATTCCTCTTCCATTTTACTATTCTTTTTCCCTCACTCACACTTCTGTTTATTATCTCTCTCTTTCTTTTGTTTTCTGTGCTACATGGAGGGAGTGTGGCAACTCGAAGTGCTGCTGTACGTCTATACAAAGTTTTATGTTGAAATTAGTCATTCAGTTTCAATGCAACGGTGATAAGTAGTAAGCAGTAAGTCAATCTTTCGATTTGAATTCAGTTACTATTCAGAATAGATTTTCCATGAGCAAGGCTATATGCCATAAATATCATGTAGATGCAAATGATGACACTACCCAAATACTAACGCTGCAGTAGACAGAGTGGGATTGGAACCTTGGGTCCCTTGGTCCACTTGGTACATTATAGACACTAAGAGATGAGACATACACAAATAACAATGCATAAGGAAAACACGGGCAGAGTGAATGAGAACGTCATCTAAAAATCAAGCAAGCATACTTACCAAGATCATTCAACATTTTTTTACTTCAAGTTACCTTAAGAAAGGCAAGAAAGAAGGAAACTGCCGCATGTTCGCCATTGATTACGATTCTTGGCCATATTTGATAACCTTTCGAACAACCGATGTGCACTGTCACTCGGATTGTAAGTCGAGGAGTTATGACGCTAACCTAACACAAACATGCTGCATCCAACGAAGCCACGTCATAACCTAAAAGCCTCTCTGCTTTTTCTATCCAGGGTTAACAAACAGTTACCAGTACGGAAGACAATGAGATAACATTCACAGTACATGTGTGGTACAAGCCACTGAAGCCAGTGTTTCGACATGGCGACAGTCAATGAATGATGAACTATCTAACCACTTCATCCAAATGCATATTGCCTGCCTTAAGACTTACTTGCCATCAGATGGAACCAATCCTACGGAGACAATGATGATCGACTAGGCAGAATCGCCGTACATCCCTAACTCTCGAAGAGGCCAAGTTTCAGAAGCGTAGAGTAAAAACAATAGGCAACGAAGCATTGAAAATCCAACCTTTGTTCACTGGCCAAGTTGGTACAGTAAATTCAATTCAGTGCAGTATATAAACTAATACGTAAACACTCAGATAGAACGAATAAGGCATAGACAAAACAAAATTTATCAAAAGGATTTCATCAAACTCTTGGTAAGATGAAAAACACATAAAAATAAAAGAAAAAAGATATCCTTACAATTAGAGAAAATCGATCGACGATAGGGTGCTCCTTTAGAGAAGACAATAGCCAATATGATATACTGATACACGGATACAGTAAATACCGCAGTGCTTTCATAGTTCAGTAATTCATAGTCTTCATGATATGTATTCAGAGGCAAATACCTTGAGAGAGAGAGAGAGAGGGAAAGAAAAGAACCATGATAAAATTTAGTGTGATTATAACAACCTAAACAAAACGATTGTGGTTTAGTACAATAAAAGGCATATAAATATGAATAGCCGAAAGCGTTTATTCTTACGAAGATGAATACAAGGATTCGGTACTCATATAGATGAGAAATGACAGAAAACAACAAATAGGAAAACAATAGAACATCATATTTATTTGTAAGAGAGATACGACGAGTCTATCGGTATTAGTATAATGATCAACAGTATGTAACCGGTCAAAACACAAAACCAAACTCATTAAGTATTTAAATCATGGGCTTTTTGTAGGGATTATGAACTAGTTGAAATGTAGATGTTGTCACGAACTAACAAATCAGTTACAGAGACCAATAGAAACCAGAAGACACTGGAAATCTGTTTCGGTCTAGTTGGGGATTCTTCGACAGTGCGCAAGCACAACTCCTCCACCATGAATGGAAACCGGGACATTCATGTTGCTAGAACAACCTCACTGACGTTTCAACCAACTGAGCTGGAAATCATTATTGTTCTTCACTTGGGCTCCCAGTGGAATATTCGGCTTCAACAGTACATCTCCACTTCGTTTCATCCTGTGCGGTCCTCTTCAGCTGTTCCAACAATTGTCCATATCGTTCTCGCACAATCTCCTCCATGTTACCCTCGGAACAACATCCAATTCGTCGTTTCTCATTCAGGTTCCACTAGAATGGTGGCGTGATGTGCGATGTAGTTCGACGGTTTTATCAGTGTGTACCCAATCCATTTCCATTTTCATCGGAATATTTGGTCAACAGGTTCTTCGTTGGTTTGTTTCCAGAGTTTCTTGTAGCTAATCCCTGCTGACCATCTGATATACACTATGGGGCCGGTGAATGTGGGCGACTATTGATAAAAGTTTGTAGCCCAATCAAAATGTCTTTTGTGAAGCCGGTCTCGAGTTTCTGATCCATACAATAGCACCGAGTGACTTGATATAACTTAACATAACGTGCACCAGATACCAGGATGACTGCCATTGGATACCCTCAATATTTCACCCAAATTCCAGTTCTCATCCAACAATAGCTTTATCTTACGTCCCAATAGGAAATATTAATTTTCTTTTATAATTATCTAAAACTTACCATGGTTGCATTCTAACGATTGTGAATACAGCGAACTGTACAAGAGCACAAGTGAACAATTGTAAACCCAGAGATAATAATGTTACAGTGGATAATAATCGCATTCCAGGAGGTTCCACAGACAGGCGGGGATAGGCAGGGGTATAGCCAACTATAATGTAGATTGAAAAAAAGAAAAAATCCTTATTAGTTTGTTTATTAGATATACCACACAGTGGTGAAACAGTATTATTAACTAGATAACTTTTCAACCGAAATTTATTGTTCATAATCATATCAATTATAATCACACAAATTCGAAACTTGAGTTTTATAGTTTTCTTTGCTCTCTCCTATTTCTCTTCGTTGGGGTAGTAGAATTTTCCAGATATCTGGTTGGACAGGTGTTGAATCATTCCTATTACACGTATTTGCAGTTGATTTGATAAACAAAGCTTCCGTCATCAATCTTTCCCTCCAACCCTGCTCTTGCATTAGATTTTAAAACTGTCATCTTATCCCATCTATCCTGTTGTATGGTTGTGTGTAATTGCATGTGGTGCTTGCGATAGCTGCTGAACTACTCTCTAGATTTCTTATCTTATTGGGTCAACTAATCCAGATTTTGTTAAGTTTTTGTGCTCCGCTGGTCTCATTGCCTCCGTTCTACTACTTTGACTTATGTATTTGACCGGACAATCATTGCAGGCAGGTTAATATCATTTAACGACGAAACCTGTTTTAAATTGAGTTTGTGGGTTTGAATGCCAGCCACTTTTGTTCCCGCCTTGTTAGGAATTCTGCGTAAGGTTTCCGAGGTTTCTTCCTTGTATGGAATTGCTATTGATGATTTAGATTCCTTAGTGTTTGTGTTGTCGTTATCTTGCGCATGTTAGGCACGCATGTCGTCATCAATATTATTATCATTACTATTACTATTATTACCACTATCCCCGCCATTATTATTACCAATTTTATTTGTACATCTCCCTACAGGCTTCCTGATTAATTTATAAGGGTAATTATTAGCTTTAAAGCTTCTACTCTTATATGCCTCACTTCTTGTCTCAGATTTTCCCTAGCACTACGTAGATTTTGTGCCCCATTACTTAAACATTTCACCAATTCTATTTTCACTGACATAGGATGGGATGATTGGAAGTCCAAATATGTGTTTGAATGTGTGGGTTTCCTGTAAACACTAGTGTGTTTAACTTCCTTCCTTCTTCTTTCCTTTTTACGTTACATCTCAACAATGGAAGCTCCCCTTCCTGACTTTCCAATTCATCATAATTGAATTGAATTGTCTCCACCTTTGAGAAAAAAATCCAGGCATCTGAGAAAGATGTGAATATATGTATATTACTAATGTTATAGATCAAATCTGTGCATAAAGCAATAAGATTCCCATGTGGCGTGATGCGGATTGCGATTGGCAGTGGACAAATGTGAAATCAACATTTTTAGCTAATGGTTACACAGGTAGAAATGTTTAATCGCCACAGCTGGATTTAGTTGACCTTTTTTGATCTAAAAATAACCTCGCTAAACCTTGAGCCAATTGCTAGCCAATCAGAACAATTTATTCTCCTCTGACCTAGCCGAATTTTATTATGGCTAAGAATGTATAATAAATAGAATGCGTATTTCCGGTATAAAAGTACGTTACCAAGTCTGTTATCTTCTCCCAAGTGACAGTCATAGTAACACATGAAAACAACACATGCAAGCGAACAATACTGTGTTTTAAACTAGATCTTTATCAAGATTTACTCGAATATACATAATTTTACAAATAATTATTCAGTACAAACTATTCATGGTGATTCGTCAATACGATAAGATTATGCATATAAACTGTGTAATTAGTTTTAATAATAATAATGCTATTATAATAAGACGATATACCAATTTTGATAATAACGATAGCGAAAAACAAATGTCCAGGTCAACGCAGTCGATAAGAATCAGAAAAACAAATGGACCGATTAAGTCATGCTGGATTGTAAGAGAAGTAAATAAAGCATGTTTAAATGAAGGTACTATAAGATTAAGGGTTGGTAACAAAGAAATATATATATATATCACTCAGCGGCGTCTGATTTTGTTGTGTCGATCTGGTGAAATCAATACCACCTTATGTATGTCCTTGTGCTTGTAAACACTAACCCCCAATCACTAAATCATGAAATGCACAGAATTCTGCAGAGCTTGGTTGGAGGAATTCATTATGAGCTGACATTGGAGAACCTGCATGGAGTACTGGACAGCTGTCTCTCCAGCAGTACGCACTCACCAACTGGGATGCAAGCCCAAGATCTTGCGGTTACAAGGCGAGGTCGTAGACCACTAGGCCAATGGGACGTAATCCAATGACCAGTCCACGAATTCTATTTTCTGCCAATTCATAAAGTAGTGCGACCAACTCGCGATGTTTTCTTCAATTAGTTACTGCCTCACCTTCAACCTGCTGCAACATACTGGTCATGGCTTCCCACTAGAACCCCAGGTAACTGCCTGAATAGGGCCAGTCGCTATTGAGCATCAGATTAGTTTTCAAGTATTGGTTTTGTAGGGATTTGATTGATTGGTGGCAGCATTTCATCGTGAACTGACCAGTGGCTTAATGGTCTACGAGCTCGCCTTGTAACCACAAGATCCAGGGTTCGAATCCCGGTTGGTGGGTGCGTACTGATGAAGAGTCCCAAACTAGATGAAAGAAACAGCTATCTAGTTCTCCCAGCTTTTTCAGTGGTCCTCTAACTGATGACAGCTCATGATGAAATCCTTCAACCGATCAAACAAATCTCTACAAAAACGAATGTTTCAAAATTCTGAAAAAGACTTTTCTGTTCTCATTCCTTTCGCCAAGAGCCTTCCGACCTAATGATGAGTTCTCTTCCAGTGTTGTTCACTCCCAGTCTACTTGGTATCCATACCACTCATTAGGATTTCACTGTCACCATTTGAAGTCTCATCCATGACTGCGTGCAGTAGTTTATAAAACTGTTGCTTCTCAACCAGGTCTGCGTACTTTGTATGAGAGTAGGGCTTGATAACTGTATCTTGAAGATCAGAAATAATTAAGAAAAAGAAACTCTGGGAACAAACCAACCAAGAACCTTTTGCTCAGCAAATATTCCTATGGAATTGGATCGGAGAAACGCTGAGGAGAGGATCAAATGACATCACACACTAGGCCATCGTTTGAGTAGAACCCGAATAAGAAACGACAAGTGGATCGTTCAGGGATGACATGGAAGAGATCATGAGAGGAGGAGATAAGACAGCTGAAGAGGGTCCCGGAGAATAGGATAAGGTGGAGATGTGCTACTGAATCCATATGTTCCACTCAGAAACCAAGAAATCAATTATATATATACATCATTCTTTGCGCCTTAGTGGATACATAGGGCTTCAAGTTTCAGCTTTGATGTCTCATTAAATATGGTGTCATTTCCTAAAGGATGAGGTTGCCAGCCTCAAACCACCAAATGCTCTTCCTTATCGAGCTTACAACCAGCTGAGCAAACCTACAGGAGTGCATCGACAGGGAAATCGATCACGAATACATTCTCCTTTCCTCACATCCATAGTTAGTGTTCAGTATACAGAAAGTGTGCAAACAAACAATGAAAAGACAAAATAGAACTGACTACTAATCAATGCTCATGTAAAAATAAATATTTAAACCAAACAACAAATTGCGCATGTCAATCAATGTCATGAAATACACCAGTATTGTGTGTTTGTATCTGAATAACTGACGGCGTTCTTTCTTTCGGCTTTTTTGTTCCACTTTCAACGTACTATAAAAGAAGGACTCGTCAGGAGAAAATTACAGAAAAATCACACACATACAGAGTCTCACAGTCTTACATTAGACAAGAAAAGACTGTGTTGTTTTCAAACCAGAAAGTTTTTTTCTTAAAAAAAACGCAAAAACACAGAAACCAGTAAGAATTTAAATGTTAATTTTATAAAATACCAATTTTGTGAAATCTCGTGAGGATCATATGTCCAGTTTTTGGTAGATTTTAAAGGAAAAAAATAATCTGAGGTGGTGATTTTAGAGGCGGTAAAAAAAGTAACATACGTTTCAGACTTCAACTACGTGGTGTGTGTGTGTGTATATTACAGAGTAGTAACACTGGGAAGTGTAAAGTGTACAAAAACTTAAAATTATGAAATATGGAAATAGCTTATTGACTTTATGTATATTGAAAAGAATAGTGAGTGTGGATAGCAAATTTTAGTTAACCAGTCAGTGAAACTTCATTCACACAGTAGTGTATGTGGTAGTTGTCAATACCAGCACAACTCTTGACATCACATTTAGCCGAGTGTACAAACAACGCTGAGGATGATTGACAACCAGAAGTCAAAGGATGCTAAAAATCTGATGGATCTGTATGACTTGATCTATGTTTCATAGAACTACAAAGCCGATGATGAGCTAAATTCGCTTAAACGTTAACTGACTACTTTTTTATGTAATGATAACCATTAGGAATATCCTGTAATGAGGATATAGGATACGAAAAAGATATCAGTCGAAGGCAACATCTATAAACTTTCTAATCTTCTGAAGGAATCCAACTATCGAAAGTTGGGTTAGGACATGTTACGCATGCCTAGGCATCACCTTCACCGACAACGGGTAATGATAACTGACATAGGATGGATAAGGTTGGAAATGACCTAGAGGTGCTCAAACCAAAACAAACATGGCTTCACCAGTCAGTGAAATCCCCAACGGTTAGTTTAAGCCAGTCAGCCAGCCAGTGTAGACTTCCTGACTAATTGGGGTCCTCAGGGTGGGAGGAACCAATGAATGCTGGAGACAATCGGTGCTATGGCTCAAAATCGTCCTCAGTGATGGTGCAGGCGTATCCACTTCTTGTGATTTATCATATCCAATAAAATTTTATTATTCTTCAATATTACTATTCTTTTTCCCTAACTCACACTTCTGTTTATTATCTCTTTAGCTTCTGAATCTCTCTTTACTCTGTTCTCTTCCTTGGTGTGCTACATGAAGGGAATGTGGTAACTCGAACTGAATACATTAGATTTCCACATTAATTTCAAAACAATGAAAGTCTATCTTGCTTATCCGAGCCTGCTTTTAGCATCCTCATCCGCAACTTATTTGAAATAGATAAACGTAAGAGGTTATTTCTTTTAGATTTCACCTATTGATAATGAATCGAGCTTTCGGTTATTGATACTATCGGTGAAGCATCTTCATCAACTCCGCCTTAACTCAAAGTAATAGCACGAGTCAATCAGGAAGGCGAAAATTACCCAGGTTTAATCTCAAGGATACTACTTTGCAAAGTTCAGAGATTTTTGGTACTTTACGGCTGTGAACAGTTAACAATAGTTCCTCGGTGACAACATCAGCGAAATAGTTACACAGAACCTGAATAATGCAGTTTAAAGAGCTTTCAATGCAGCAGACGTACGTTGTCTCTTCACTACCGTCCCCATTTTTATGTTCGAGATATAAGAATAAACTACCTAATTTTGCCTCATCTATGTGTATCTACCAGTTCTACTGCGGCTGCGGAGTTTGCTACTTTGGGCGTACAATTAGACAGGTTCATTATCGAATGTCCGAACATCATCATCCTGCCTGGTTAAGCAGCAAGAAACGAACCCGATCTAGTCGTAACTCTGTTTCAGCACGCCTTGTAGATAGCAAGCATAGAATTGATGTTAATATAGCATTTAAAAATATTTATCGCATTCCTACTAATCTTAATTTTGTTTTACGAGTTCATCTTTTACTTAAAGAGATGAAGCCATAGGAATCCACCTGAAGAAGCCAAACCTGTGTGTTCAGAAGAAATTCGTACAGCTACTTTCCTTACCTCTGAGATCATTACATGAATGCATACAATGGACTACTTCGCCCCTGAACTTTTGACAATTATAATTGTCCATATTATTTTATTATTTTTGCTAACTACTTTATCTTTAATTACACGTTATCATTGTTGTAATCACTTCTAGCCTTTAATTGTTTGAATTATCTATCTTGGTTATTATCAAGCCCTGTGACATTTTGATATTGATTAATTATTGTTCACAAACATATCAGTGCCACTTGATTGATAAATGCTATACATGTATTAGAGTGGAGGTAGAGAGAGATGAGGATCTAATTGAAAAGTAAATAACTCTTCACTTATCATCGACAGATTGCTGCCTTCGCCGTCATATCTTCATCTGATACATATTTGTATAAGATTAGCCCAATTTTCTTTATTATTGTTATTCCTTTATAGCTTCCCTCCAAACATCACTATTTCACTCTGTTCTCTGGAGTTATCTACAGCTGCCTGCACGATTACCACAAGCCTCCATTTTTCCCCGACACCGTCTCATCTATGTCACCTTCTCGAGCATGTATCTTGTCGTTTGCAACTCGGGTTCCACCCGAGGGTTTGGCATATGCCCAATTTATCTCCACTTTCGTTTGTATATTTTGTTGCTTATCTTTACCGGCCAGTGCCAACGGATCTACTTATTTACTTCTATGCAAGATCCCACACATATTGACCAAGTTATTTGTCTAACGGAAACAAAAACCGACAATGCCTACTCTCAAGAATCATCCTAATAGTGACAAATAGACTCAGATCTTAACACGTGCTGCAGTAACCATCACACTAAATAATTTTACAACGACTGTCTGGTTTCAACATAGGACTTTGAACAGAATTGCAGCAGTTCGATTCGCCACACTCCAAGAAACACCCAAACCAAGACAAAAGACAACAAGAGATCCAAAAGGACAAAAATATGAAGAAACGTGAGGAAAACAGGACAGTAACATGGAAAAACACTAAGGGTATTTTTGGATATGGCACATCACAGACAATAAATGCATATGCGCCATTGAAAACAATTTTGAGCCAGATCACCAATTGTCTTCAACCCATCAATGGTTCTTAGCATCTCGAGAACCATGAGTAACACATGTTCTAACCATCTCAATCGATGCGACTTTACTTCATGGATCGTCCCCCCCTTCTTACCTAACACTCGATGCCTAACCTAAGTATTGCCCACCTAAACATAAGGGATAGAACGCAGACACGTATGACTAAAACCAGCTGGTCGTTTCACATCCTCCACTTCCAATCTCATTTCTCCTCATAGCAATAAAGGAGAAGGGATTCAACGGTTGGCAGTATACACGTCTTTTGATCGAATACTAGAGGGATATTAGGTCTACATGCCAGAGGTGATACAGGTTGGCAAATCGCACACAAGCCTTATTTATATCAGTGCTGAGATTTCGTCAGCGATTATCATCAGCTCAACTAGGTGGAGTGGTGGTCAACACCCTCCCCCCTACCATTATTTCACTCTCATATACCAGACCATCACAGTGACAAATTGTAGAATAGAATACAACAAAAAAAAGAAGTGAATACATTTCAACAACTTACATGTTAAACCAAGAGTTGTGATAAGAAAAAAGTCAATGTATAAAAATTGAAAATCTGAAATATTGCTGCCAATCTATGAGAAAAAAAAGAAAAGATAAAAAGTTTTCGAAAAAAAAAGATTCAATTTAATAAATCACATGAGAAGAAAAGCAAATTCATAATATTTTAAAAACCAAAAAAAATAATTAATCTTTGACTTCGGTTATATTTTTCAATCTTAATGTCATGTATCACACTTAGAACATTCAAATCACACTAACGGATGAATGTTTTGACCTGATTTTCAAAGATTTTCAATTTTTAAAAATAATAACCCAGAGCATTTTAAGTCATATATTGAAAGGACACGCTAGTTCACAAAGTCCAATGTTACGCGAAGCTTATGTAAGCATTTCATTTTAATACACTACATTAGTACATCATTTCATAAATATATCCACTTTGAATACAACTATGGATTCAAGTGTTAGTTTGCAAGAAGATGACTGGTTACAGGATTTCATTATGAGCCAAAATCGGTTAGGAAGGAAGTACCAGACAGCTGTTTCATCCATCTAGCTTCGGACTCTTCATCAGTACGCACCTACAACCGGAGTTTGAATCCAGGACCTCCTGGTTACAAGACAAGCTCGTAGACCATTCAGCCAATGGGACAAGACCCAATGACCCGGATCACGAATTCCAAAGTCCACCAATTCGTGATGTTAGCGAGACTACTAGCCAATGTCATAACAACCGACCTGCTATATCCTACGGGTCACGCTATACCGTGGATTAAGAGAATTTGGAATTCGTGGGCCATTGGATCGGCTCCTAGTGGCTAAATGGTCTACGAGCTCACCTTGTAACTGGAAGATCCTGGGTTCGAAGCCAGTGAGTGCTTACTGATGAAGACGAAAAAGTTGTCTAGTACTTCCTACTGGTTTCACAATGCTTATCTAACCAACGTAGAAACATGATGAAATCATGTAACATCTATGGATTGTTAGAAAATCCTGCTAGCGAAAATGATGGCTATGATGCAGAGATGGATTATTCGGCCTAATTACTCAACTTTCAGTCAGTCAGTCTCAGGTTCAAATCTATCGCTCCATCTATTTCACAGCCTGTTTCAGACTTTCCAGTCAGCTGGATGTACCCCAATTCCTCAGTCAGTGAGTAATAGTGTTCCTCCATTGGGACTCAAACCCAGAACCCATTGTTTCAAACGTCAAAGCGTCATCAAAATTGACATGAAAACAAATGATAACTGGTACCTATCACTAGAGAAGTGGATCTCATTGACCAATTGGCATGTGGTGAGAGCTGGCTGCTAGCCAAATTGGTAGACAGTAATGTACGTCAATGTTTATGTAACAAATATTGGTCTTGTGAAAACAAGAACAAAGACTAACTAAACAAGCAATTACAGCAGACTTTGCGTAGGCGGATACAATTAGCAGAGAGATGATCTGACATTCAAGAAACAGCCACAAATAGATGAAAGATTAACTTTCTGTGAGAAACAACCAATCAGAAGACTGTGTTTTTCTGCTAACAATAATCTATAATAATGCACATGAAAATCTATAAATATGTGTTGATTTCCTTAATAAACGATCTGTTGCCTGGTCCTTGTCTTCTGTTGTTACAGACATAATGCTTTGGCGTTTGAAACGATGGGTACGCTGGATTCGAGTCTTTATGAGAATACTAACACCTGCTCTCACTCACTGAGAAATTCAGTGAGCAACAAAACGACTTTCGTCATAATTACGCCATATGAAATCAGAAACCTGGAAACCTCGTACTCCTATGAAGCACAAGGGGTGCAGTAGGAAACTAAGTCTGACAAAGTACACATAAACACTTTAGATCAGTGAGATAGATCAAAATTCCAATACACATTTATGTAATTAAGTAGATTGAAAAAGAATTAATTGTTCTTTTCCATTAGCTACGACTGGTGAATAAAGTATCATTCGTCACACACACACACACGAACACACTTAATTCATCAAAAACAATAATTACAACAATAATAATAATAAATGTGAATCACTTTTGAGTCAATTATTTTTTTCTTAAAAAACCATTCTACGCACATAGATCACATGAAAAATATGAGTTAAATTTGTCAAAGCAGAGAAATGAAGACTTCAGCAAAACTGACGACGACAACAACAACAAGAGTGAAAAGTTACAAATTGGATCTATATAGTCACAATTGTTATCGTTTTCATTTTACACGATGGAATGAAGACAAGAATGATAATGCAAACATTGTTTTAAGAAATGTATTCACTGCTATTACTACTAATACCAAACCCTTCTACTGTTTGTCATTTTTATTATTCAGTGACAGTGAATAGTTCTCGTTCAGTTTATTGACTTTTAGATTTTCTTGGTAAAATCTACAGAAATCTTTGTGACCAATTGAAACTTTAAGTATCAACGGAATGAGTCCTCACCAGTGACCTTGAATGAACCAATGAGTTTCTTCACGTGAATTCAAGCTTCCATTTCGCTTGATTCGACTTACGTCTGAAACTTGGCGTAGATTAAGTTCTCCAGTGCTGTGCTTAGATGTGGAATTGATTGGAAAGGAAAGAATTCGTTCCTTTGCCAGGTATCGTCAGTATAAAAATCTGCAGAATACCAGTTGATGGACATGTTCACCATTGTGAAATTTGTTTGAGACAAGTTAATATGAGGGGAAGTAAGCTGATGATTACACTATTTCGGAAAAACACTTTTTGCTACATCCCATCAGTCATTAACCCAGATTTTGTACGTTTGTAATCACTGGGGTTTTAAAAGAGGCTGTGAGAGCTGCACAACTGCTGTAACAGAAAATAGTCTCGTTTCAACAGTTCAGTGGTACCAGCACTGCAGAGATATCGCATATTCGAAAGTGGAGATAATTATTTCTTAATTGGGAGGACAAGGTGTCATAGAATACGTAGATGAAACAGTCTTATTAAAGAGGAAATACAACCTGTCTATTATCACCGATGAAATTCCTAATTGTGGTGAACAGGACTAAGAGTTAGACGGTGCACAAGGAGTGGGATGACACAAATACGTTAGTCCGATAAGAAGACTCCATCTAGAAGATCTGAATTTGGCAGATGACTTATGTTTAATGTCACACAAACTCGAAGACTTGCAAGCAAAAACCAACAAACTGGTTGAAGAAGCCGTCGGTGAAGACAGGACTCCAGGTGAACGTAGATAACACGTAGCTGATGAAGTTACCTAGGCAACAATAAGCACTAGTCATTATTAAGAGAAAGAATTTGATGGAGGTCACTTTCTTCACTTATTTAAGAAGCATCGTTCTAACCACGCGCGGAATGGATGTAGATGTCAAAGCAAGCCGGAATCAGAAAGGTGAGATACACTTTCATCAATCTTAAGCCGGTTAGGAAAACTTCTGCGCTCAGAATAAACAATAAAGGTTAAAATTTCAGGCACAAATGAAAAGTCAGTCAGTTCTTCAAAATGGGTCAGAAACTTGGCACACTCGCCAAGTAAAGACTTTCTAACAGGCTACTGCAGATTTTTATTAACGACTGTCTTCGTTGTATCCACATTGAAGAGCAAATGGACAACCAGGAAGAACTACCAACAAGAAACTCTGAGGATAAATCATCCAAGTAACTAATAACAAACAAATATATAGAAGAAAATGTAGGTGGCCGTCGAATGACATCGCGCTCAACGCAGACCATCGCTAGAGTGGAATCTCAATGGGAAGCAACGAGTGGGTCGTCGGTGTCAGGGTGACATGGAAGAGGTGGTTCAAACAGGAGATGAGAGGAAATAAATAGTTTTGGGCCCAGCTAGAGAGGACAGCAGAAAAAAGAATAAAGTAGAGATTGGTTGTTCAAGCCCTATATTCCAATCAATCATTAAACGTCTCACACTCATACATAAACTCGAAAACTGCCAGAGACAAAATACAATAAACTTACATAATACAAAAGGATGGCTGAAAAAAATTGAATCATTGAATAGCCAACCATAAATTTAAATGCACCAAAACTAGTAGTTAACGCACAACGGCCTTCACGAATAAGTGTTAGAACACAACTGATATTCTGTTGTTTTGATGTAAAAGGACTAGCAACACTGGCTTCAGCTTCACTTAATGCAATTCCAGCATGTGCCACCTTCAGTGCACCACAATCATTAGCACCATCACCACACATTGAAACAAAATAACCAACCGACTGGAGGGCTTCAATCAATTGAGCTTTTTGTTCAGGTAGAAATCGTGCGAACACAGTACCTTTGACTACAAGCTGATAACAGAAAAATAAATAAATAAATAGATTAGGAATGAATACATATAAAAACTCTTATTCTTCTTGAATATAAAGTAATGACAAAAATCTTGCATCATTGAGTGCTGATCAGCAACTATACACATAACAGTGTCCTAGTTAATCCCAGGTATGAAACCAAAGGGCGTATAGCCACCCAAATTGTGCCTACCTACTTGGGCAAACTGGTAATTTTTTATTCCTTTAAGTTCCTAGTGGAACGTAGAACTTCAAGCTAGAGGCTTGAAGTTTCGGTAGCAGTGGTATTTATCTTTACGGGATGAGGTTGCTAGTTTCGTGCCCAACCTTCCTTCTTTACCAGTCTCATTGCTGGCTTAGCGAGGTAAAGGAGTGCGTCGTCAGGGGCTCGAACCCCCGAACCAAATGCATGGTTGACGAGCATTCTACTGCTGTGCCACCGACGCACACAAACCGGTAATACATAAGAATCAATGCGTAATTTCCAATTTGCACAGTTCGAGCAGGCGAAATGTCACCAGTTTCCTTAGAAAAGTGAAATTATTCAGATTAGACTATGTGATCTGCTTCATACCGAAAACGGGGGAGGGGAGGACATTAACTGCATGAAACTATATGCTACTAACTGCCAGTGTTTGTTACCCAAGGTTGAAGTGGTCTAAACACTGGAAAACCGCTCCTCTCGTTTGGGACCGGGCTCCTCAGCAATGTTCTTGGTTTGACTCAGCTCATACAAACGGAATCAGTTCAAGTGACCTACTCTGAATTCCTTTGACAACCATTCAGAGTTTAGATCACTTCGAACTGGTTTGATAGTCAACACAACTGGTTGATGTGAGTGTTATTCAACTAATTACAGCAATTAATCAGTAGTAGGTAGCGGTATGGAATTAAAATTGCTTTACTGAAAAATAATCTTATGTTCTCTAGTGACTGGCTACAGCACAGAACCTCCTAGAGTTCTAGTGGGAAGTTGTGAACAGTGGAGTCCATCCAGCCGGTAGTAAGTGACGACAAATACTCCCTGATGATGAAATTGGCTGGTGGTGGTCGCGCTAAAATCTTGAATTGTTAGAAGTTAAAATTCACGGGCTAGTCCCTCCTATATTTGAATAGTCTGCGAGCTAACTACACAGTCCTGACTTCAAAGTCCAGTGGGAGCGTACCGTCGATGAGTCACAGGTACTAGGACGAAACAGCTGACTATTCAGTACTCCCCACTAGTTTCCAATGATTCTCTGATATAAATTCGTGGTCAGACTTGAAAATATATCAAATCCCTCCAAACCAACTCTTGAAAAATTATTGACTTAAATTTGTGGTATAGAACAGGTGACATATTCTTACCCAGATACTTTCAGTTGTCAAAGGAAACTATGGTGAGATTTCACCTCTACAAACTGTGTGAAAAGCAAGTCGCGAATAAATTTTCAAAAAGTGCGACATCTTTTTTAACAAAAGTGGTGTACACTTTCATTCAAATTCCAGAAACTAGACACACATCACAAAATTAACTGAACCCACATTAAAAACTCCACTGATATAAGAATAGAACTTGGGTACTGTAGTGGAGTAAAATTCCATTATGGAGAAAATTTATTTTTGATTAAAGTATCACAGTATTATGCAGTAATATTTACTGATGACGACGTTTCAAACACAATTCAGTGTTGCTCATAATCACATCAAGACACTCACACAACTTTCCGTCTCTCTTTATATAATCCCACTATTTCTCATCTCTTCATTTGATTGCTGTAGTAATATTTGCCGTATATCTCTGGGATTGGTGTTGAGTCATTTCTATTGCGTATGTTGGATGTAGAATCGATGAACTAGGATTCAGTAATCAATCTCTTGCTATCCATCTATCCTACTCATTAGAATTGTAACTCTATCTCTCACCCCATAGTGTGTTTTGTATTAATGCATGGAGTAAAACAGCTGAGCTTTTTTCAAGATTAATTATCTGGTTTGAACTATATAGTTGACGAACCAGTAGATAGGGGGTAGTCGGATTATTAGAACATAAGAATGTAGCTAAGGTTAGAATGATTGATCCCACGAAGATAAGTAATTTAGAAAAAAAAATCAGCAATCGCACTGCATGCATTAACAGACAACCATACAAAAGGGTGGTGGGAGAGATTAATTACTGAGTCCTGGTTCATCGAATCTACATCCAACATACGCAATAGAAATGACTCAACACCAATCCCAGAGATATACGGCAAATATTACTACAACAATCAAATGAAGAGATGAGAAATAGTGGGATTATATAAAGAGAGACGGAAAGTTGTGTGCGTGTCTTGATGTGATTATGAGCCACACTGAATTGTGTTTGAAACGTTGTCATCAGTAAATAGGATAACTGACAGACTACGCTACAAAACATTGAAATCAAGGTGTATACACCAGAGGTAAGATTTCATTCTACATTGTTAATATCAAAAAAACAAATAAATAAAATATTTGTTTGGTTTTGTAATATGATAAGCTAAGTAAGTATGCCGCATAACGTAGGCTCATATATATACCAGAAAACAGGGATTAAAAACATTTTGAAAAGTGTTATTTTACACATTATATATATATAAACTCCCCTTGACAATAAAACTTAAAATATGAAATCTAATTACTAATTTGTTCAAATTTTCATCGATAGGATAGAGATTAATAAGTAGAAGAAGATAAGTGGCGTCGTCAGCGGTTCACCAGTAGAATGCTCCCCAACCATACATAGGTGGTGAGGATTCGATTCCTGGTCGACATGTACTCTTAAACCCCACCTAGCTTACTAGCCAATAGTAAGGCAGGAAAAGAGCGACAGTTGAGCCTGATGCGTATAACCCGATCCCGTGAAAACAGACATCACTGACAATGAGGCGTGGAAGCTGAAGCTTGAAAGCCCTGTTTAGTGTCCCATTGAAAAACAGGGGACTGATTCAGTTCAAAACCACATAACATGTTCTGTATTACCTGTTCCACTTAACAGCATTAATCAGAGTCACACTAGACACAGAACACTTTCTTTTTCTTGGAATTACAATATTTCGGATTACTCGTCGATTTCTGTTGAACACTCAGCATTCTAAAGTTAGCCGCCATCACTAAATAGTTTGCTGAATGAAGAAAAATTCCCTAGTCATTCGAATGGAAACTGTTTATTTACCTAGAAAGTAGAGTATTAAATGCGTTTGGAAAGGGGTTAAATGACAATCTTTAAACTGGATTTCTGGTGTGCTAGTATTTATGAAAACGAAGTCTGTCTACGAAACTCGAAAAACACATTTTCCTACGTAGGTTCACTTAATTTAAACACTATCGGTAAACTAGTTTGGTCATTTATGCACATACACATACTAGACAAGGATGAAAACATATTAACTTAAGAATAAGCTTGAACGTCACTTGTGTGACAATATCAATTGAATATCACTCTGATGCTCATTAGTGACTGGATCTAGTCAGGTAGGTGGTTACCTGGGTTCTAGTGGAAAGTCATGACAAGTGGGGTACAAGAGGTCAGGTGTGAGGACAAATACTCGCCACCGATGACATTCGCTAGTGGCTGTGCTATAATATCATGAATTGGCAGACGTTGGAATTCATGGGCTAGCCAGTGGCTGAATGGTATACGACCTCGCCTTGTAATCAGAAGGTTCTGAGTTCGAACCTCTGTGGATGAGTACTGATGAAGAGTCCCAAACTAGGCTGTCGAAACAGCTGCCCAGTACTCCCTGCAGGTTTTCCAATGGTTTTCTAACCGATTTCAGATCATGATGAAATCCTGAAACCAATAAAATCCCTGAATACCAGCACTTGAATAACCTAAATGATTATTGATTAGAAATATTGGCTGGCTTTCGCGCTATACATATACCGAGTTGGCAGGAGTTAAAATTCATGGATCATTGAACCGGATCTCAATGGCTGAGTGGTCTACGAGCTCGCTTTGTAACCGAAAGGTCTCGAGTTCAAACTCCAGTCGGATCGTACTGATCAAGAGTAGTGAAATAGGACGAAACATGTATGTTACTAGAATATACATTGTAATAAGTATAGTAATTTAAACACTACATAACATCACAGTACTTCATCAAATACAACGATTTCAAGATGCAAATTTTTTTGGATACTTATGCAAATGTACAGTGATTATTACTTACCTTCGGTATAAGCCAAGGATAGTGTTCTCGTATGATAGCCCAAGTTTTACCCGACATAGCCAGATGGAAATCGGGTCGATCAAGCATACGTATGGAGACAGGATGAGGTGTTTTCACTGGTGTCGACTGATGTCTACCCCTTAGGCATGACATACCGTTTATCGGTTGATATTGCTGATTTTTATGTTGATGTTTTTGCTCATTGGATGAATCCAATCGGGACTGATCACTCAAAGAGACATTTGGTACTTGTGTGACATCAGTTAACGGGCTTGAAGCAGGCGTAGAGTGACATGCACTATCTGATGGCCTGATAAAAAAATAAAGGAAAACACGAGAAAGTTTTATATAACAAGAATATTGAAAGAATATGACATATAAAGTGCGTCGGTGATTCAGGAGTAAAACGCTCGTCAAACACGCCTTAAGTGGTCCGGGGTTAGATCCTCGGGTCACCAACGCATTCTCAGAACTCACAAAGGCAGTAGCAAGGCACCAGTAAAGAGGGAAGTTAAAGCGCGAGACTAGTAACACTACCGAGTATTTATATAATACTGCTACCGAAACTTCAAAACTCTGGCTTGAAGCCCTATGTTCCATTCGGAACTTGAAGGAATAGAATAGAGTAAGTAAAGATGACATATAAAAGAAGTGTTCGGCAAAGAGTTACTCTTATCAGTGATACCATTCTCAAGCTGCACAATCATATATATATATATATAGTGCATTATCATAGCAACAAAAGGAATGTGGTTCCAAAGATATGTCATTAGAATTGTAAGTTTTAAATAACAATTGTGTGATATAGGACACGTGAATCAGGTAAACAATAAAACAAAATTAAGCCAGTAAATTGGGTAACGTGACAGGATCCAGTAAAGTCCACTCACAATTTGAAAGAGGGTCAAAAATTAAGATCAATGATAACATAAGGAGCTGAAAGAAAGAAATTTTTGAAAATATTAGGATTAACAAAAATTACGTATGAAATGTTGACTGACTGGTTTCAGCATAGAACTTGGCACAGAAGTGCAGCAATTCGAGTTGCCACTGTCCATACATGTAGCACACAAAGCAAGAGAAGAGAGTAAAGGTAAGGTTCAAAAGACAGTTAATAAACAGAAGTGTGAGGGTAAAACAATAGAAAAGTAACATAGAAGAACAAATGTTGAGACAAATCAGGACTATTATAGTTTCAATAACTAAATAAACATCTTTTCCATGCGGAGTTCGAGATTTAAGATTCGGATTCCCATAGCTTTTGTGGTTTAAAGAAGTCTGGTTCGTGTTTCTTTGGTAAGATTTCCACGTACATGACTGTGAGTTTGGTGTCCAGAATCGATCAGGTGTTCCAGATTATTACAACTGTGAGGGGATCTTTTCCTCCTTTATAAAGCCATGAGTAAAAATATTCGATAATACACTAAGTACGGCTAACATACCTAGCTCCACAGGAGCAGGTGAATTGATAGACACACATTAATGAGGTCAATGGTAGTAGCTTACCCTTCACTTTCACACAAGTGAATCAGTGGTTATGTAAAGAGAATAAGTTGGAGTTCATCTACAAAGGTTTTCTCCAATAAACGAGACAAACGGTTTCTGAGTATTTCTGCTTATGAGTCGCCACTGAACTGTACATTCAAATAGAGAAGTTTTTTGGGAGCAAAGTATTCGAATGGTTTTGATATTATAGGCTTCGTCGATCTCATGATGGAGAGTTCAGCTTTAGCATTCTCAAAGGAAAGTTTTTTCACCCAGGTAATGCTTTATATACTACGTGATTCATGAATAATCCCCATTCAGACATTTTTGAAAACAAAACAAAATGGAAAACGAACCCGACATTCCCTTTCTTGAAGAGGAGCTAACAAGACAACTCGACGGAACCTTAAGAAGGTTAGTCCATAGGAAACCCACATGGTGGAACGATCTACTAACAAGTGCCTGTTGAACGAAAACGAAATCTAATTAAATCCCTTGTAGCTCGGATCAGATGCATTCGCAGCCCTGATGCCCTGGAAACAGGATTGAATGTTCTGAAAGAAACCTTCATCCCAAATAGATACCCACCAAGATTTATCGACAAGAAGAATCAGATCAGAAGTCCAGAGGAACGAAACATCACTTGTTACATGAACCTAGATTTCAAGGGACACTCAGCCAGCGATATCCTTAAGAGAAGAATTTAAGCATTTTTGGGAAAAACATTCTTCACAGCAAGGCTGAGTAGTGTTCCCCAGTCGTCCATTGGTCTGCAGAAGCCTTAAGGACGAGATCTCGCCTCGGACCACTTTTATGAGCATATCTCAGCTCACCTGTTGCTACGGAGTCAGGTACATTCGTTTCTCAACGCGTATCCTGTCCAAAAATTGCGCATGGCTGAAAAAAAGTAGTAGTGGCTCTATAAGGAGTGCAATAATGGAACACCTTGTCAACACTAACCATTCCATCTCAACAAACGCCTCCTTCAAGGAAATCTACAGAGTCAGGAATAACCCACCAAAAGCAATACGCTTTCGTCTCCATGTGTATTGCTGAAGCCTTAGTCATTCAGTTGAAAAAACTAGAGTTATGCATACAACAGCAAAAATTATTCACCCACTTTTACTACCATGGCAACAACCATGCAGATTTCTATTGACTTAATGTTTGTGTGATTGCTTTTCTAACTCCTTATAACTCTTGTATTACTTTACAACTCTTGCATAATTCCATATTTTGTCATGATATTAAAAGACATGTGTATTTAAGATACATGAAGTTATTTGCGTAGTTTCTAATATTTAATAAACTGGAACATGTACTAGACCGTAAGTTTTCAACAAATTAGGATTCTGACCAAACGTTTAGGACTCTCTCATACGCTGATTAAACCTGTAGGTATCCGATATGTTGTTAAATTAGTCAAGTAGATTCAAAGGAATCACAGAACTTTACATCAAATGCGAACTGCGAATCGACATAAGTTAGAATTCATTTGATTCCGTTCCAGTGACTAACTGGATGGTCGGTCAACTAGTTCGCCTCGTAACCCGAAGGTCTTAGAGCCTAACGCCTATCCAAGGGGTGATGATAGGTGCATACACCTGAAGAGCCCAAAACTACAACAAAACTGCTGTCCACTGTACTCCCCGATTTTCAGTGTTGCTTCTCTAACTGATATCAATCGGTGATCAAACTCAAACAAACTGTTTATCCTTAGTCCTCGATCAATATCTGACTGAATTGGATGGAAGACTCTCCTCATTTGAGACCAATGCCAAACTGGAAATTCAAACTAACTAACAATCACGATTACAAGTTATCACAGCAAAATAAAAAGTACACTAAAGACGCAGAAAAATCATGATACTTTACACAAAATGAAGCGGTTTTCAAAAACAAAAACATGATTTCTGCAATATATATATATATATATATATACATTCTTGTTTAACTGTCACATCTATGCGCGGTATTTGAAATACGACGGATGCATATACGAAAAGAAAGATAAAATGATTAAAACTTCACCAGTATACACTGCCAAACGTCTTTTTATTAGTTCAACAACATTATTTATTGATTTAGTTTGCGTAGAGGCGTAAGCGAAGTGCATAAAACATTGAAACACGTCAATAAAGACTCTGTAATAAAATGTTTGCGCTACGAAAACAAAACCACCCACGAGAATCTCTCACTCTCTCTCTTCCTACACACATATACACAAAGAAGTGAGTGCAACTTATTTTAGTAGTCAGTGATTAGCAGTGGAATCCAGGATGCATATTTCGTCCAATTTTAGGACTCGTCAGTTGGTGAATGTAACTGTATTTCCAGGGTGAGTGATGATGACATTCCCACTAGGACTCAAACCGAACCTTGGAGCCTATCGTTTCAAACACCAAAACGTTATCCACTAAGCCCTTATGAAAGGGACATCCATGCTAGGATAGGATGAATAGCGTATCATGGATTCGAATGCTAGTTGTAACCAGGATAAACAAATAATAACTTAACGTTTGACCTTAGACATCGTCGAATTTTCAATAGTAGGAGCTGACATGTTAACACAGAGACCGAGCATTTTGGCCCAATATAATCAATCAACAGGGAACACAAAATTAATTTAATATAATAATCACAGCAACTTAGCTATTTTATATGCTGATAATAGGAATACACAGTTAACACACAGTAAGACAGTAGGATAAATCTCTCAATACCCTGGTAACTGTAACTGCCTGGTAATTCTGTGTTCAGTTCTGTTGAGAAACATTTCATTGAATTTTGATTTTCATTTACTGAGTTTTTTTTAATTTTTATTTATTTTTGATTATAGCTTGATTCCACACCGCAATTTTTCGGTAAAAGTACGGAATTTCCAGCATGCGATATCGGTAGCCCAAATTTTGCAGGCCAACCATTAATATCAGGTGTGCGTCGGCAGGGGATCGAACCCCGGACCATGTGCATGGTCGGCGAGAGTCCTAACCGTTGTGCCAACAACGCAGTTTTCAAGGTTAACAAATTGTTTGTCTATTTCATAAGTTTACCTTTAACTATTCACTCCCACCCTCATGAACTTTTCATCATATCATGTGTAAATTCACTCTGATGTTTGATATTGTATTCTATATCTAGTCAATCCTTGTTTCACAGCTAAATTTGAACTCTGCTCTGATTCTCTCCCCGACTGTGTCGAATTATACTACAAATAGTTCACCTTTTATCACTGGATAATTGTGGCGAGTGCTATTGACAAGATTTATTAGTGTAGTGTAAAGAGATGTTCACCGATCAGCACAAAAAATATCAAATAGCGGAGTAACAGATCTGACGTCAAAGAGAGCAAATGATTTAGTGTTGCAACAAAACATGAGCGACACGAAAAGAAGACAAAGAAACACAATAAGAAGGATAAAAGTAGTACAGAAACATGGAAGATCTGTGCAAATGACGATTTTCACATGGGGTGTACATAATTTCCCTATACACAGATATCGAATTTCAAATAAGCATTCCGTTACGAAGTCTCTTGTCTTCTACCGTTACATAATTTCATATTTGCCCATGCACTGATACCAGTCAGAGAACCACTGAAAAACAACAAAGTATGATATAGCCATTTTGTCCCAATTTGGGACTCATCAAAAGTACGCGCCGACCGGGGTTTAAACCCAGGCAAGTTTTTAGATCATTCAGCCACCAAGAACCGACTCAATGGCTAATCCATGCATCCTAACTTCTACCAATTCGTGATTTTAGCGTGACTACCACCAAACAATGTCATCGGTGACGAGTACTTTTGTGCTCACTCCGCAACAAGTCTACTTACATCATTTTGGATTTATGCTGCTTATTTTTTTTTTTTGATTTACAGCTTGATTCCACACCGTATTTTCAGTACAAGTATGGAATTTTCAGCATGGATATCGGTAGCCCAAATTCAGGCAGACCATAGATATCGGGTGTGCGCCGGCAGGGGATCGAACCCCGGACCATGTGCATGGTCGGCGAGAGTCCTAACCACTGTGCCACCGACGCATCCATAATAACTCGATGTGAGAAAATTATGTTTGGAAATTTTATAACTTATATATATTGTGTATAATGTAGGCAGTTGAAAAGAATTTACGAAATAAAACGACCTCGTATTATCCAGCAAATATGTTTGTTGTTTTCTTTGTTCAAAATTATTATACCATTTAACTGGATCATGTTTATAATAAGTGAAGAAATCGCTATCACGTACACGTACAGTGATGCTAACTCTAGTGCAATGTAATTTGAACTAATTCTGAACAAAAAGAATCGATATTATGTGACGCTTTTAAAACACTTCATCGAAAAAGAGGTCATCTAGTGAACTCTATTTCCAGAAATATAAGCATGATTTTTTTTGAAATTCGACAGTCTGAATACAACTCAGACTTTTTCTTTTTTTAAAAAAATTGAGTTTTATCAAGTTCAAAATAGAAACTATTTATGAATCGAATCGTGTGTTCAGATAAAAAATAATAATGATGATATAAGACTAGAATTTAGGCACTGTGTTAGAGTTCAACTGTATTACAGAGTAAATTTATTTGATAGAAAAACCATACAAATGATATACAGTATTATCTATTTACAGAGGACCTTCCAAACATAATTTATTGCTGCTCATAATCATATCAAAGGCACTCACAAAACTATGAAATGGTTAGGACACGTGTTGCGTATGCCTAGGCATCGCCTTCCCCAACAACGGGTAATGTCAGCTGGCATAGGATAGATCAGGTTGAAAAAGAGCTAGTGGTGCTCAAACTAAAACAAAATTGGCTTCATCAATCAATGAAATCCACAACAAGTAGTTTAAAGCAGCTAGTTACATAGGGAGGCGTAGACTGGCTGTCTGGTTGGGGTCCCCGGGATGGTAAAAACCAATGAATGGTGGAGATAATCGGTGATATGGCTCAAAATCATTCTCAGTGATGGTGCAGATGCATTCGCTCTTTGTGACTTGTCATATCCAGTAAAACTCTATTGTTCTTCCATATTACAAATCTTTTTGCCTCACATTTCTGTTTTTTATCCTTCTTTTGAACCTCTCTTCACTCTATTTTCTTGCTTTGTGTGGTACATGGAGGTAGTAAGGTAACTCGAACTGGTGCACATCTGTGCAAACTTGTACACTGAAACCATTCAGTTAAAAAAAAACTTCTCAACCTCGTCTATATAGTTCTTTTATTTGATTTTATTGGTTGTAATATTTTCCATATCACCCTGTGACATTGGTGTTCAGTCATTCCGATTGTAAGTATTAGACGTCGATTCAGTGAACGAAGATTCAGTAATTAACCTCTCGCTTCAACAACCCATATTACATTTTAGAATTATAGCTTTGTCTCATCCTATTGTGTGTGTGCGTGTGTGTTAATGTATGCATTGCAACTACTGAGTTTTTCTCTAAACTATTCCCCTTCTTGGGGTCAGTTATTCTACAATTAGATAAATTCTTATGTTGCGATAATCTGAATATCTCCGATCTACTGGTTAGACCTATGTAGCTAGTGACACAGCTACTATAGCAAATAATTCTGTATTACTGTGTGATTTTATCAAAAAATAATAATTAAATTCAAAGTTCTAGGATTGAGAAGAACTAATTATCAGTGAAAACGATGAATTTCAAGTCTTCTGATCAGTTATGAAACAGTTATTTAGAAGTATAGTGGAATGGAAAAACAATCAACTATATTGACGTAATTGTGTTCCCTAAGCTGGATGATTTAGTTGCGATGCTTATATTGTCTTTCTAGATGAGTGGACTGGAGGACGAAGAAATATTCAGAAACAACTAACCATGGTTCAAAGTTACCAGGAGAGATGTCTGATAAACTCATATTAATCATTATTATTTTCAAGAGTTGATTTGTAAGGAATAGATTTGTTTTTCGAGTTTGACCACAGATTGATTTCAGTTAGAGAACCAGTGAAAGCAACCAAGGATCACTGGACAGTTTGTTTCATCTTAGTTTGTGAATCATCAACAACACGCACCCACCGCCAACGTTCGAACCCAGGACCTTCCAGTTACAAGGCAAGCTCATTGATCATTCAGCCGCTGGGACCCGACTCAATGGTCAGCCCATAGATTCTAACTTCTACCAATCTGTGGTGCATTTAGCAGGACCACCAACCAATATCACCGGCGGGAAATCCATCCTCACTCCCAACTGGATGGACCTCACTGGTCATGACTTCTCACTAGAACTCCTAGAAAACTCCGTTCTGTAGCAAGTCACTTCCATTGGCTGAATGGTATATGAGCTTGCCTTGTAACCAGAAAGTCCTGGGTCCGAACCCTGGCGGTGGATGAGTACTGCCGATGATTTCCAAACTATGATGAAACAGCTGTCCAGTACTCCCTCGTTTTCAATGGTTCTCTAACTGATATCATTATTATTATTATTATTCCCTCGGATTCCGAGCGAAGCATAGGGCTTCATTAGCATATCTTCATTTCATGCGGTTTTTCTGCTATCCTTTTCGGTTGGCTCTACGATTGATCATTAGCTCTCATCGCCCCTATGTCATATTCGGATGTCCAGCACGTCGTTTACCCCTCTGAGTTCTACTTGAGGACCTCATTAGCGCGCGGTCTCCTCAATATATGTCCAAACTATCTCCACTTTCCCTGACATATTTGTTGGGTAATAGGTTCTTAATTGGTTTGTTGCAAGAGTTCGTGCAGATTCCTAAAAGCTCACTTCATATTGAACTATGCACTGAAGTTGTTTTCTATATGTGGAACAATGAAAACTTTGCAACTAAATCATCCAGGTCAGAAGAATACAAGTTCACTAGTATCACCTACACGAGTTAAAAAATTTCTTCATTATATCTAAAATCAATTGTAAAAAAAGGACTATGTGGAAGAAACGTTTTGTTGACAAGCCTTTAAAGAATATGCCCTCGAAAAAATATATATATATACTTACAAACACGGAGCACCTTTGCATATACGACGCATCCATTTTCGAGATTTTTTAAATTCTCTTAACGATGAATGAGATATATCTTTATCATTTGTCGATGAACTAGTTGTAGCACGTTGAGATTTATAATTCCGTGTTGATGATGTTTCAGTTGTAGCGGTTACTTCTGTTACAGGTCTGTGTAAATCCTCTGCATAATGAAATTCAACTAGTGAATCATCTTGTTGCTGTTGTTGTTGTTCAAAAAATTTCTCTTGATATAAAGAACAACTTGTTGCATTGAAACTTGAACGAGCGTGTGGTTTATTCTTCTCCGGTTGTATCATATGTGCAGAAAGCGCTGAAGGATTAACACAGTAGATATTTTGTTGATTTGAAGAGACATTATTGGATGATTGCGTTGATATATCAGTTGGATTATTTGCAACTAAATGTATGTCAGGTGACTGATGAAATGAAGAAGGTGGAGGTTTCGCTGATACAAGAATTATCCGGTCTAATTCGTCAATCATTTCACAATCCCGTGCGACTGATAATGCTGTCAGCATGTTATCACCTGTAAAAAATAATATTTTTGTAAAAAAAATATAAGGAAAGAAGTGTCAGTTTTCTTTAGTAAACTACGGAATGAAATTGTGTATTATCATCCCTAGGCATTATTGATATACTGAGATACGGCTCTTAGTAAACAGATCACTTCGACCAAGTCCTTTTCATGATACATGGCGAGTGGCAACTTGAACTGCTGCACTTCTGTATTCAAAAGTTATCTCGTGAAGTGACGACAACCAGTGTTGCTAAAGATTTCATTGTAGGTGTAAACTGATGACGAGAGAGTCGTCCGAGGGTGACATGGAGGAAATGAGAGATTATGGTCAATCTCGGACCCAGCTGAAGAGGACAGCACCAAATAGAACAAAGTGAAAATGTGTTGTTGAAGCCCTATGCTCCACTCGGAACCCAAGAGAATAATAATAATAATGATGGAGGATAAGACTATGCCGATTTCGATGGCTTAGAGATTCACTCGATATTCCAAGGAAGCGTATACATGCTAGATGATATAGTCTTGTTAAGTGGAGAGATGCTGATAAAATGAAGAGCCTTCTGAACGCTTGAACAAAAATCTATATATTCAACTACGGCTGTCTAAAATAGATGGGGTAATTATGTACACTAGAAATGCATTTAGATTGAACAATTGAATAGGTGAATGAGTTTTCAATGTAGGATACTGTACAAAAGTGCAGCAGTTCAACTTGCCACACTTTAAATAACACGCAAACGTAGATAGAAAAAACTCAAAAGAACTATCAGGAACTAATCTCGGAGTCTATAGACAGTGAATGCACCTGCACCACCACAACCATGTCACAAACTGTTTCAAATCGTTAGTGTATCACGGATCTCAGTCAGGATGTATACACGTTACTACGTAGCTGACTCAAATTAACAGTTAGAAACCTCATAGGTTACTGCGAGATTTTGATTTGACCACCACTAACTCTTTTTCAACCTAATCATATGCCAATTTGACGGATGGTAACTAGCAATAAAATCCAGCTTATGCTGTTGTTTCATCCTATTTGAGACACGTCATCCAGATGTGTGTACATTCCCCAGTCAATAATGTTCCCACTGGGGCTCGAACCCAGTAACCATTGTTTCAAACGCCTAAGTGTTATCCACTAGACCACTTGGGCCATGAAAGCCACCTCTTTGTGCAACAGGCATCAGTTATTCATCAATTCAATTCGAACTTTCCCGCTAAGTGATTGGACCGAAGTGCTAATACATCCAGATGACGAGTCCCAAATAGAACGAAATGCACATCCTGGATTCCACTGCTAATCACAATCTACCAAATCACCTTAGGTTAAATCCTCAGATATCGTCGAAGCATCCGCACAAGGAGTCGACATGTCAACCTGAGGCCGACCACTTCGGTCCAGTTACTCAAAGGGAAAGTTCAAATTAAGTTATACAGTCCTATGTCAGCTAGCATTGCTCTACGAGGAAGACGGTGACTAGTCAAGCGTAACACGCGTCCCAGCCATCTCACAACTGATGTAGCTTCAAAACCTCAACGACTGACTACTTTCCTTCCTTACCTAACATGTTAAGTCAAATCTGAATACTACTCAGCACATTATATACACCACTTAACACGATAGACAGGACGCAGACCACTGTGGTCAAAGACAGCTGGCCATCTCAGGTCTTCCATTCTCAAAAACAATATATCTTACGAGAATAAAGAAAGACAGAACAAATTACTTGAACAGTATACACACATCCTTTGATCGATAACCGGATATCACGTTTACGTTAGAGGTTAAATAATAAACACTATCACCTGGTCATATATATATATATTCCATAATAGATGACATTTTCAAATGCATATCAGCATGAAAATAAAGTATTTTAAATAATCACATACCGGTCACCATAACAGGTCGAATATTAGCATATCTTAATGTTTGAATCACTTGAGTTGTCTCCGGTTTCAATCGATTCTCCATGATAAGTAAACCAAGAAACAATAAATCCTGTTCAACCCGTTCTCTTGGAACACGTAGCACTTTTGCATAATTTGCTTTCAGTGGTTTCCAGGCTAGCGCTAACACTCGATAACCTTCACGAGTATATTCCAATAATGTTGAATGAAAATCACTTGGAACTTGAATTTTCAAAGAAGATAAGAACGAAAAATAAATAATACAAGAAATAACTCACGAAAAAGGAATTTCAATAGTAAACACCACCAAGCATTAAATGAGATATACATTAGCTATAAATAAGAACTACAACAATACTGACTTCATCACGAACTAACATCAGTTAGGGAATCGTCGGGAACCAAAGAGCATCGTAAAGCTGTTTGATTCTGGTCTCGAACTATTCAGCAGTTCACACGAACGTCCCAACCAGAGAATGAACCTGGGACCTTCAGGTTACGACCATTCAGTCAATAGGGCCAGAAATCAACTGCCTGTATATTCTAATTTCGTCAATTCGTGGTATAGCACTACCACCAACCAATACTATCGATGAGCGAGGATCTACCTCACCTTGATGTTATGGGACCGCACTGGTTACGATTTCTAACTACAACTTCAGGATATCCATCCGGGAGCCACCTATGAGCTGGAGATTGGTGCCTAATTAAAATGAATAGTCTAAGTATCAATCTGCAGCTCACCAATGGCAACTGGATAGATTTCCTGATATTGTAAGCGAGAAGTCGCTGTCAGGGAGATATCATCATGTCCGGGTGAAGAAAATGCTCGCCCATCGATAGCATTGGTTGGAGGTAGCGTTATATCATGATTTGACATAAATGAAGACTGACAGCTTATTGAATGACAGCACAAGTGACGGAATGGTCAACACGCTAACCTAGTAACCCGGAAAGTGCGGCTTTAATCCCTGTACTGCAGAAGAGTCCCGTGTTGGGATGGTTTTCGATGATTCACTAATTGATATTGGTTCATGATGTAATCTAAGTTGGAATTAAACCAAATACCTGCAAAATCAATAGTCTAAATATTATAAAAACTGTATCGGGACAGAAATTTAGAAAAATGCGCTAAATATTTTACAACACGATAAGAGTTCCCATTGGCAAACATTAATAAAGAAGTAGGTTATCTCTAAATACGTTTAGAAGGGGGTAGAAAGGTGAATAAAATGAAGGCTAAAACCAATTTTCCATTAGAGATAAACACACCCTGAATTCAAGATACGTTTCGATACGTAGATAAAAAGAATAAAATAGCATAATCAATAAGCATCTTTTTATGGAAAAGTATTTTAAAAGGTATAAATTGGTCACACTGTTAAAGACTTTGACACAAATACTGTGTACACACACAAAGATTTGTCGGAAGCTAAATTCTGCACAGTGAAATGAAAAGCTAATACAAAGTGTAATCATACAGCACAATGGCCAGCTAGCCCTTGCTAAGTCTGCTAGCCGGTTAAAAGTAAGAAGGAAGGAAAGAGGGAAGGATGAGTATGAGGCTAGCAAGCCGTATCGCGAGAAATCGATCCAACCCCTCTCTACAGAAACTTCAATGGACAGGAAAAATATTTAATAAAAAATAAACTTATTATATGCTGGAATCAAAGAAACGAAACGACACAGGCTGGTGAAAGCCTTCGGAAAGTCAGTCAGCTGATATACCTTTTTTACAACGGGGCGAAATATGCCTCAGAACATGGAATGTCCACACGAAGTTTGAAGCTGGGAATGTTACTCAAATGAGAAGTGGTAGGAATCTATGAGAGCAAATAGAATGGAAATGGCTTCTCCGCATTTTTAACTGGACAGTCTATAATCTACTTCTGTGTTCTACTCGGAACCAAAGGGAATCATAATTTTTAGAAATAGTATGTTCAACTACACGGAATGCTATAAGAGTTGTACGCTTTCAGGTAACTGATAACACAGAAAAAAAACAAAATGTTTGTCAGTAAATTTAAGTCAGTTTCGTAAAAATAACTCTAATGTGACTTATTATTCAGTAAGTGAGTAATCTGAATAATTCTTTTACTTTCATGGAAAGTTTAACCAGTTGGAAAAATCATCATGATTGTGTGTCAAATTTTCTCAGTAAAAAATGTACATAGTCAACAATATACTGAGTCACAAAGCGTCATCTGATCACAGAAAAAAATAGCATGGATTTGAACATCTACTCTCCCCCATAGTCATACTATGCATGTAAAAGAATTTCTCATTAATCACTTGAGATGAAAGTACACGGAGATAAGCAAGAAAGCTGTATGATATTACCAAACTGGGATCATTTTGATAAATTACTGGTAATACTGAATGGGCATATGTAGAAAAGAGAAACAAATAATTGAAGCCAAGACCGATCACCAACTGACTTCAGTTTTGGGATATATGAAATCCATTCAGGAAGTAGTGAACATCTGTTTCGTCCTCACTAGGGACTCTTCAGTAGTACGCACCCATAACCATCATCGAGCTTATCTGATTATCCGAAGATCCTGGGTTCGATCCGTATCATCAGTGGGGTCATGGATCCGTACTGATGAAGGGTCCCGAACCAGGACGAAACAGCTGTCCAATAACGCCCTGCTGCCGGTTTTCTAATGGTTCTTCATCATGAGCTGAAATCCTGTAAATTAAAATTGTTAAAGAACAGTAGAGATAAGAGTGAGAATAAATGTTCCAGCTTAGAAAGCTCAACTTTTTGTGACAGTAAGTTTTAGCTAATGTTAACATTTTCTATGACAACCATACAATCACACTCGTAAAATATGCATACTGATATTATGCAAACGTAATCACTCAGATAACGACCGTGGATATTATAAGAAATAAACATAATTCTATACATAGTAGTAATTTTTAGGTGTAAAAACAAAAAAATAATAATCAAATGAAATAAATAGTAGTAAAAACAATTGACGCTGTAAATTTCTTCTTCCTGTTAGTAGTCGTGTTAGCAAGCATACTACTAAACTCTACAACTGGTTGACAATAAATCACAATATGACATGAATGCATTCGGTGACCGCAAAGCCTACATATATGAACAAAGCTAATTAATAATGTACTTATAAGAAAAAAGGGTTCCACAAAAAATAATGTGTCCGGTACCAACCACGTGTGATGATGATACGAAGAAGAAGAAGAAGAAGAGGATGGAATCATTAGAACACGTTCACTTCCATATTATAATATTCTTACATATTCTCACATTTATACTAGCATGTCAACATACTTATCACTAACAACGACAAAAATCAATTCGAAACCTTATCGCCGCTAGTAGGTAATTTGATTCCGATAGGAATAGCTAGTTTAGCGTGGTTTGTGTGTGTGTGTACTTTGTCAACCTCCGTGTTATGCTTACAACAAGCTACCTTTGACTGGCCTGCGCGAGACACTCAATTAACAAAGTACAAGTAGAATAAAATTTTGCGTTGCACTAGGTATTCTCACCCTTCAGACTTTAACGGTTGTTTATTATTAATTATTGAAATACAGACTTGGGCATCAAGAGGTGCACCACATAAAATCTCATTATTTTTTCAATGGCTAAGATACTTGACCGGACGCCCAAACCGAAGCAGGTGATTGTATTTGGGGGTCAGAGCTCCCCAAGCTTTTGACGTACAGTCAGCGTTAGAAGCAACTTTCCCATGGTTTCCGGTGACCAAAGCAACTGTATACGCTACTCGATTCTTTCCGATTCTGGTGGCCATATACACTATACAAAGGGTTCAGAATAAAGTATTTTTAGTTCCCCTAGATAGACTTTTACATGTCTATTAGTTTGGTTGTGTAAGCACCAGACGCTCGTGGTTACGCTTTCATTTTTGTGAGGAACTCACTCGCCATGTGAAGAACAGTGAACAGAAATTACTACCCACCCGCGGCCATACCAAGTTGTTTATGAGGGAATCAATGGAATACTTGAAACATTACTGAGGAAAGTGAATGAAGGTTCCAAGTTTGCGGATATAAATGAATGATAAAGAATTAATGAAGGTGTCTCCATTTCCACTCATTCATAATATCCACAAAAATTGTGTCATTTCTTTAACGAAATGTGTATATTGTGAAGACTCGATTGATGGCTGCTACCAAGAAGTGGTAGACACCGGCGGCTTGCATAGAGTGATAACAAATAAAGCTACGTTGCCTAGAGCGAATGTCCCTGTAGGTCCAACCATACGAATAGCAGTTAAGTCGTATACACAATGCTGGCAGTCTGAGGGTGAATAAGGATGTAACACAGCAGTAAGATGTTCCCCTCAAACGACGAGTAAGCTAGCTACACGCTGCCACTCCGATATGTAAGCAGTGGGGGTAAGAAGAGATTAAACCCCGAAAACTGTTGATCCCAACTTACCTTACAGCAGTCTATGGCCAGCTGTAAGATCATAAATACGGAAACAACTGCAGAAACTAACTAACTAACAGAAACTGCAAACTAACACACACTAGTTTGTGTGTGTGCAGAAGTCAGAATATTTGCAGATTCTCGTGAAGAAACATCCTTCACACTTTACAACTACAAAAATAGTTGTCGACTAAACACGATACCATCCTCCCCCATCTCTCAAATAACACCTGAATATAACAGCATATATCATCATTATCATAAGATATTGATCTCAAGGTACTCATAAATGTGAATATTTCCTTCATTCCTTTGCATTCCACGAGTGAAATATGTGGCTTCAAGCTTTAAGCTTCGAAGTTCTAGTGAAGGGGGATACTATTTATCCTACCTAATACCGTCTCAAAGCAAAGTTTAAGTGGAGTGCATCAACAGTCAAAGATGTCGAACACAGAACTACATGCTTGCTTAGCTGGTGAACAGTGCACCAGTGAACTAACGACGCTTTCAAGTATTTTTTTCTTATGAGATCACTTTAATCATCTGAATCTATCTTTTTTTTCTTTGTTAAACAATCACGTGAATGAAAGAAAAGAGCTTATCCACTAAAATAACTACTAGTACTACTACTCTACTACTACTACTACTCTACTACTACTACTACTACTGATAGAATTCAATCTGCACCAAAGAAAGGACTAGATACATCACACTAGTTACTAGTGTCCAATCAAAGTATCCACTACAGTCCTACAGGAGGTCAATCGCGAGTCAGCCCGAATAGATCAGTAGTAAC